AAATACAAAGAGAAACGAAAACACAAAGACAAACTCAACCACATCCAAAAACGCAAACACAAACAGGAAGGAATTCCGGGAATTTTTTGGCCCACAATCATCCTCGGAACTTGCTTAACATAATTGCTTTTGGAACTAGTCCTCGATATTGCTCCGTTGAGGAGGAGATACGACTTAAAGCGCAGACACACATCCATCCATATACGAGTTAATAATCGCAATTGCCAGTATGGAAATAGCGCTAAAAATAGTGAGTTTAAAAAAATAATTATTTCCAATAACGAAAAGCAACGAATGTGTCTTGTTTAGGTCAGCTGAGAGAGATCCACGGCTACACGCTGGCCAAGCTCATGTGTGACACCACGGCCCTGACAGAGGTCCAGGCCAATGCTCTTAGGATAGCCGGACCCAAGTAAGTTTAGGATAGCCGGACCCAAGTAAGTTTAGGATAGTCGGACCCAAGTAAGTTTAGGATAGCCAGATCTAAGTTAGTTTAGGATAGCCGAACCCAAGTAAGTTTAGGATAGCCGGACCCAAGTAAGTTTAGGATAGCCGGACCCAAGTAAGTTTAGGATAGCCGGACCCAAGTAAGTTTAGGATAGTCGGACCCAAGTAAGTTTAGGATAGCCAGATCCAAGTTAGTTTAGGATAGCCGAACCCAAGTAAGTTTAGGATAGCCAGACCCAAGTAAGTTTAGGATAGCCAGACCCAAGTAAGTTTAGGATAGCCGGACCCAAGTAAGTTTAGGATAGCCGGACCCAAGTAAGTTTAGGATAGCCAGATCCAAGTAAGTTTAGGATAGCCGAACCCAAGTAAGTTTAGGATAGTCGGACCCAAGTAAGTTTAGGATAGCCGGACCCAAGTAAGTTTAGGATAGCCGGACCCAAGTAAGTTTAGGATAGTCGGACCCAAGTAAGTTTAGGATAGTCGGACTCAAGTAAGTTTAGGACAGTCGGACCCAAGTAAGTTTAGGATAGTCATAATCTAATATGTAACGATGTGTTCTAGAAACACGTCAGACTTGATATAACAATGTATTTCAGTAACCCAAAGGTGCCATGTTCTACGCTGCCCGGTATCAACATAGATCACTTTGCCTATGACTGGGAGCGCTAGATGTCCAAGCTAGAGTCAAGAAAACTTTCCCCATGAGACAGAAGAGTCTATTAGACCAGTGCTGGTTGTTGTGCTAGGCTGTAGTCTAGACTTTTGTCTTCTCATGTGTCGGTCTTTCATTCAATGTGGAAAATATTTCTCTATATGTATACGTGCTTGATCAAATCTTAAACGATTGCTCGGTTAGTTTTGCTATGATGTGTAAATAAAGTGATGGTCAGAGTTAGAGAGTGGAGTTGTTTTATTGGTTTGTTTATTGTTTGTGAAAGTTTTATATTACGGAAATTGTTGATTTTAAAACTCAAAATCATACTTTTTTGATTAATCATTCGATTAAACGTTTTTTTTTTTGCTTTTTTTTTTTACAGTCCGCGCATCAGAACACCATAAACAGACATTTTACGTCACAACATCATAAACAGGCATTTTACGTGATAACACCATAAACATTTTACCATAAACAGACATTTTACGTCTCAACATTATAAACATACATTTTACGTCACAACATCATAAACAGACATTTTACGTCACAACACCATAAACAGACATTTTACGTCACAACACCATAAACAGGCATTTTACGTGATAACACCATAAACAGACATTTTACGTCTCAACATCATTAACAGACATTTTACGTTACAACACCATAAACAGACATTTTACGTCGCAACACCATAAACAGACATTTTACGTCACAACACCATAAACAGACATTTTACGTCATAACACCATATACAGACATTTTACATTATAACACCATAAACAGACATTTTACGGCGGAACAAAAATACACTATCGTTTTACGTCCAGCCGCTCTGAAGAATTGATTTATTGTTACATAAGGCCATGATTGTCAGTCATGTTCAACCTTCAGTGTGATTGATGTTACTTGATCATACTCAAAAATATTTGGGCCTTTACCTCAAATTGATGAGGGGTGGAAAACTGCTGATATTACATAATGTTGTGTGGTAAGTTACCAGAGGCGTAGCAAGGGGAACAAATTAAACCTATGATTAGAACACACCACCAATGACTAGAACACAAGCACACACCCAGAACACAACCAAACACCAATGACTATAACACAATCAAACATCTAGAACACAAATACAAATGAATAGAACACTACCACACCTAGAACACAACCAAACACCAATGACTAGAACACGGCCAAACACCAATGACTAGAACACAACCACACACCTAGAACACAAACACCAATGAATAGAACACAACCACACACCTAGAGCACAACCACACACCAATGACTAGAACACAACCACACACCAATGACTAGTACACAAGCACACACCTAGAACACAACCACACACCAATGACTAGAACACTAGCACACACCTAGAACACAAGCACACACCTAGAACACAAGCACACACCAATGACTAGAACACTAGCACACACCTAGAACACTACCACACACCAATGACTAGAACACTACCACATACCTAAAACACAACCACACACCTAAAACAACCACACACCAATGACTACAACACAAGCACACACCTAGAACACAACCACACACCTAAAACAACCACACACCAATGACTAGAACACAAGCACACACCTAGAACACAAGCACACACCTAGAACACAAGCACACACCTAAAACACAACCACACACCAATGACAAGAACACAAGCACCAATGACTAGTACACAAATACCAATGTCTAGAACACAAGCAAACAGCCAGGTAATGCTGGAGTAGAGTTAGTTTAATAAGCCCTGCTTCATCAGTTCAAGTTATTTAGACAAGCAAGTGGTTTGAAGGTGTCAGACACAACAGTTTCAGATAATTTAACATCAACATGACTTTAAATTTTAAACATGTTAAAATCAATGAGATAGATATTGTGCTTGATATCAGAGTACACATTAGAACAATTGATTCATTAAAATATGATTGGTTAATTTGTGGTGGCTTAACTACCTCAGAGCTAATCCACCAGTATTTTCGCCAGGGATATCAATCAAGTTGTGGCGGTTTGTTTCTGTGATGGCCATACATCAATTCAGTACTGAAGCAGTACTGGCCCAGTCTGAACTAAACCACTACAATACAATCATCAAATAAATAGTTAAACATATTTCAATCACAACTAACTTAGAAAGTCCTTAACTGAGAAAGTCCATAAGAAATATTCCCAGTCTGTTTATTTACTTATTTTTCTATTCCAATCCATCCTTTCTCCAAGTAGCATCTTGCTGTAACTAGAGTCAAGTATACCAGGATACAGTATAGCATACGTGTTTTATCAAATGTTGTTAAAAATTGTTCAAATACAAGTTATGACTGCTTCCAATATCACAAACTAGCTGTAAACTTAAAACATTGTGTGACCACAATCTGGTTACAATCAATTTATTAATAGAGGAATTATACATCAAACAATATTGGAATATGTGTGGTGTGGTTGAATGTGTGTGGGGTGGTTGAATATGTGTGGGGGGGTTGAAATGAATGTGTGGGGTGGTTGAATATGTGGGGTGTGGTTGAATATGTGTGGAATTTAACGATGAGCTGTTGAATATTTGTGGGGTGGGTAATGTCTTTTTAAAAAAATATTGTTATAAATGTGTTTACTGAAAGTTGTTTAGCAGAGAGAATGGTGGTGAGTAGTTTTATCATGTCTTGGTGAGTCAACAGTTTTAGACTATAGACAGTGGCGCAAGGGGGAAAAAAACAGCCATCAGATAACCATAAACTGAATCTATCACCAAATTTTCTTCTATCATAAGCAAGGGTATGAAGCCAACCACTATCACAGAAACAGCAAATAAAACCTAAGTAATTGCAGCCTCTCTGTTGTACATAATTAGACCCAATATTTCATGTTTATGTCAATTGATTTACATAAATAATAAAATATTAGACAATGAGCCCCCCCCCCCCCCCCCCAAAGCTCCCCCTTTAATGGTGTGTCCTGCTATGTGTTCCCACAAGACTGTAGTACAGCCACTTGACTGATGATGAATGAATTGGAATGTAGAGAACTGTGCTGAAAATGTTACAGTTAACAGTTCACATTGGCCTTGGTCATGTAGAGTGTATGTACCAGTACACAGAGCTACACAGCTGCATCAGTAGCAAACAAAATACAAAGAAAAAGTTTAGAGCTTGAATTCATCTGTTACATTCCTTGATAATAAAAATAACCATTTTAGAAAATAACTTAAAAATGTTAAAATCAATGAGATAGATATTGTTTCATATTTTAAGGGCTGTGATACTGTTTAACAATGATATGATTGAAGCACAATAAAAGTAACAAATGTTTTACAATAAAAAAATATTTGTTAAATGTACAATGAATCTATACTTAAAACAATCATTGAATTAAATGTAGGTTTGTTACTGCCTGTTTATGATAGAGAATGGACAATCTATAATACAATGAACTATGAGTTATGAATAAATTAAAGCATGAAATTATTGCACAGAATGTATCTGAAAAAGATGACCTTTTCTTGAAATAAAAACAACTGAGCTATGTTAAGTAACATGACTAACATACCCATTAGCTGTCTATCTTAAAGAAAAGAATTTTTAAAAAATAATCAAATCTGAAAGTTACGACAATTTTAAATCCTTATTTTTCAGTAATTACTTTATCCTACATCAGCCTGTTGTATGACATGTATGGGTACATCATTTAGCCATCACAGGAACTATGTCCAGTCAGTAACATTGACTTCCCTAATGGGTAAAAACTGTATGGCATAGACTGGGGTATTAACATATCTAGTTGAACAAGAAAAAGTTGCTGAATGAGATGAAGATAATTTCTCACTTAAATCCTGAATCAACTTTTATATTTTAAACATACATCCATTTTACTTTTTTGTTTATGATGCAACTTTCAATTTAAGTCACACAGTTCTTGTTACCTTTAGGTTAGACCACACTAAAAGATTTTATAAGGCCATGCTCCTTACATATGTTGTGGATGTACCTCATTGAAAGACTAATATAAGTTAATGTACTGATAGCTTGGTAATATCTGAAATATGAAAGTAAACTGATTTGATCTCAAGGTTTTTCCTGGTGAGAATATAACCCTGTGTCAGTAAGGGGAGAGAACCCATTATCTACTTGTTCTGTGATGGTGGACTGGTGGTGGTCTCCCCCTGACTGGCCACTCTCTAAAACCTGCTTGTCTGCCCCTGCTTGAGAGGCCCCTTGTGCTTTCAAGAGTTTAAAACTCCTGAAATTGTTGTCATTCAGAATGTCTGAAGAAGGAATGGTACCGTTGGTGTTGATGTCACTACCAAAGTTGGCAGACAGGATGTGGCTGTGGTTGAGGGACTCTGCGAGTAAACTGTTGAACTCCTGCACCCCGGGCTGGCTGTTGACTTGGAAAAAGTGGTCGTCAGACGGCTGGAAGAGTTCCTCCGTCTCATCCTCCTCCTCTATCACCCTCCTGCTGTGGTGGCCATCTTTCTTCTTGTCATGCACCTCATGCACCGTGTGTCCATTCTTATGGTGGGAATACTCAGCATAGTCCTTACAGCTGCTCCCCTCCATGTCAGAAGAGTTCTGGTGAGTGAAACCCTGGAATTCTGTGCCGTTGTCCTGACCGTTGTGTGATGTTGAAACAGTCTCAAATGTTCTTTGTTCGATGGTCTCCAAGAATGTGTTTGAATTTTCCATCTCAGAGGGTAATATACCAGATGTTTTTACAGTGGAATCTGAAGCTTCAAGGTCTGAAACAAAATCTTTCCTAGCGTAGCTGGAGGCATCGCTGGATGCCACCTGACTGCGTCTGCTGGTCAGGGACTCACCGACACTTGTGGGCTGAGGGGACTGGAGGGTTTGAGTGTTGCCACGGGGCTCAGAGGAATGGCTGTAGGAGGGAACAGACAAAACAAGTGTTAGACATAAAACCTGGCATCTGATTAATCTCATTGGAACTAGCAATGTGCCAGTTTGTATACAATTGTTAGTATAAAAATTTAATTACACAGCAAAAATATTTTAAGATCAACAAGATAATTTGATTCTTAAATATTTAAAAAAAATTTTTTATTAATTTTCTTCTTCAAATCCAAATAAAAAATGTAATATAATTTGTATTTATTTAAAAACTAGCAAACAAAATATTTGTATCAAAATACCCATCCATTTACCTTCTCACACCAAGTCTTTGCTCAAGTAAAGATTTTAGGTTGGGTAGTGTTTGCCTGAGATCATTTGTCCCTAAACCACAGTAGAAGCGAAGCTAAAAACAATAGAAAACATTTTTACAATGAAGCAAATCCTACAACTATTGCAAGAGATATGATATAATACAGATTGTTGACCGCTGACTTAGTAGGAAACAAAACTTGCCTGACTTATGTTTTTATTTAAAAGAAAAACAGCATAATTGTACTGGAACTTTTCTTTGCCTTTCCCATATAAAGGAAACCTGGGTGAAAAAAAATAGTTCACATAAACAACACTAGCATTGAGTATACACCAACATCAGTAGTAGCTTATATGATCTAAGTTAACATCTAGGCCAACAGTACAAATAAATAATAAAATTTGTAGTATTTTCAGTTTTCAAACCTGGGGGTCCATGGGGCAAGCAGAGTTCACCTGTTTCTGTGACCTCGGCATATGAAGGGATAGTGGGGTCAGCACAATGCCCAGCAAACTTTACTTTCCCTCACGTGAGTTAGGTACCCATCAGAGCTGGGTGAACTCGGGGGGACATTCTACTGAGTTGAACCTAGATTCGAACTTGAGACTTTCAGGTTAGCAGTTTACCGCTAGGCCATGCTGTTTAATTTTTATAGAACTTAATAACTGAGTATATTACTGAAAAACTTTTAAATTAAGATAAAACGTCTCTGAAGCACAATTAGTTGACTAGTATAAGGGAAATACTAGTGTAAAGTATTTTTTTTAACGTGTGTTTTATGGTGTGAGATAAATGATGCCAGCTCACTCTCTGTCCTTCTCTGTAAGTTTACTGTGGATGTGGTCAATGATTGTGGAGCGAGAGCCGCGGTGAACCATGGGGTAGCGCAGTGGCATGTCCATGAAGTGGGACACCATCTGTGTCAGGTGGCAGGTGAAGCCCAGGGCCACAGACAGGCGGATCTCGTCCTGACCTGCAGGAAAACCTGGCACTTAATCTTCTGACATAATAGTTTTTTATTTTAACTTAGGTTGAACAGAGAATTTTAATTTTTCTCTAAAGGTGGAGGAATTGAAATTTACCATGATAGTCTTCAGCATTAGGCAGCCTGACACCATGAATGAAAAAGTTCTGTTTGTCATCCTGTAAAAAATTATTTGCCAAAAGAACTGTAACTTTTCTTTAATCACTGGATGTCAATTATCCAGTAAAACTGTAATTATTCTCTAATCATTGAATGTTAAACAATGATCCCATCAAAACAAACAATTATCTAAACATGCTCCCTTACCTGGGTGATTGGGTAAATATAATGAACCATCTCATTAATAATTTGCTTCCTTCTAAATAAAACTTGCGCATTTTCCTTAACCAGCATTTCCCTACAAACATATTCAAAAAATTTTATAATGTCATTCACAACAGAAATATTTAAATCTTATTTGAATTTGAATGATTTAGACACCAAAACTTATATTCAAGTTAAAACATTTTTAAAATAAACTCTAGTGAAAAACAAATAAGCTTTCAATACCTTGACTGAATGTGCATAGTTCTCTTTTCTTCTGTATCCTTAAGCATCTTCTGAAGTTGAAGTCTTTTTTCTTTTAAATTGTTTGCTATTTTTTAAAAATGTATGTAGGTTATTTGATATCAAAATTAGTGTTACATTTGGAAAATTAATTTCCAAAATGTAAGTCTAGCATAAATAAAAAAAATTATATGCAAATAGTACTCTATATATTTGAATGTAACATGATCATTTGGTGGGCATACATCACTGAAATTTGCAATATAATGCTGTCAATTACCAGGACTTATATTATTTTAAAAATTCAATGTTTTTAAATTGTTGTAACAAAAGCAAATTGTTAAATTATAATTCCAAAGTTTATCAAGCAGCCTATTTACTAAGTGATTCATGACTAGCTCTTCAAACTAACAGCAAAAATACATTCAACTTACATCTACCATTTTGTTGTACTTTATACTTGTCTAACTCTTCTTGTTCACACTGTTTCTGCTGTGTCTGCCACAGAAGTTCTTTACGGAGTTGTCTAACCTTCATTAGCAAAACTTCTCTGTAGGACAGCTGAAATTAAATTAAATTATTTAAATGAAGGGCTTCCATTTAATGAAAAGTAATTAAATTTTAAGACATTTCTACAGCTTAAAAATGTAAAAAGAATTTAATGTCACCCACCTTATCAGAACTTTCATTGGAAGTCAACAGTTTGTCTTCAATGTCTGAATGTATTCTTTTAACAGAAGCTTGGGTCTGCTTGATAGCTCTTTGTACAGTATGTATCCTTTAATTTTAAAAAATGAGTTGAATACTTCAAGGATGAGATTAAGATTTTTAAATAAATATATCACATTTTTTAAATAAAAAGTACCTGGACAAGTAGTTGATGTTATAAGATGGTTTCAGCGAGGACTGATCAACTTTAACCACAGGAGGAAAACTGTCGGTTGGAACCACTTTGTCTAAGATCTAGAGATCAGAAAATACAATCAATTCTTTTTTTTAACTTAAATACTTATTACAGGACAGATAAAACATTTTATTTCTTTATTTGTTTATTATAAAAAAATTAAACTCAGAAGCTCGGAACTTAAAATGGAATACTATATAATAATAAATAAGGTGTTTTCATTTCTGTTATCAACACCTATACATTCCATGAGTTTTTACATGCCAACAAGTGATTGCAAGTGTAATGGTTTATTTTCCAATAAAAATAAATAAGACTTAGAGACACACCCATTGGCTAAGCTGTGGACTGGCCGTGGAAACATCATAGTGTATGAAAATATTATTGAACATTCCAAACAACAAAGTATTAGGTGGATACTTGACCCCAGGGACTTGCAGCTGAAATTTGAAAAAAAAAACTGAGCTGTAAAATATAGTGATGGCTAGCACATTATTTGTATGAGGAACAGTAAAATGTAGTGATGGCTAACAAATGATTTGTATGAGGAACAGTAAAATGTAGTGATAGCTAGCACATTATTTGCATGAGGAACAGTAAAATGTAGTGATGGCTAGCACATTATTTGTATGAGGAACAGTAAAATGTAGTGATGGCTAGCACATTATTTGAATGAGGAACAGTAAAATTTAGTGATTGCTAGCACATTATTTATATGAGGAACAGTAAAATGTAGTGATTGCTAGCACATGATTTGTATGAGGATTGTAGTGATGGCTAGCACATTATTTGTATGAGGAACAAGGAAAAGTGTTTTTTAATATGTTTGTTTTATTTTTATCTCTCTTTTATATTAGCTATTTATTGAATTAACCTGGTCAGGATATGAAGGATCAAATGTCCCACCACAATAACAAAAAAATCCTCAACAGCTTACAGAACTAATTCATGTTACATTACATGAGCTAAATATTTTCTGTAACAGTGTACTGAAATTCTACTCTGGCTACTATCATAAAAAAGCTTTTAACCAAATGTAGTAGGTTTATCTATTAATCAAACATACCTTGGAGGAGAAAAACACCAATCCTGATAAATGAACTTGTGCCATTATAGCTACTTTAGACTTCTGTTCATAAACAAACCAAATCCTTAAAACTAAAACTGTATAAAGAGGTTAAGGACTTTTAATTAGATGTCTTACACTTTCTTCTATGCTGTCACATATAAGTTAAAATATGTAAATTTGTATTTAGGGATGTAACACACTCTGATTCACCTTCTTTATAAATTTTTATTTCATTTTAAACTTAGCCATACTTAGTCAAGTATAAAAACAAAAAGTAACTGCACAGCTACTAAGGATACATTTGGTGGTGCCATCTATTTCTGCATCACAGCGAAGTAAATCAAAACTTTGCCATGTTGGGTTCTGACAAACCAAAAAATAAATATTAAACAGTTGATAATTAGGCCTATATTGAGGAGACAATTGTCAATTACATAATTATAATTTATGCATTTGTCTATCATAAAAAAATTAATATTTTTCATCAAGTGTAAAAGTAAGTCTTTTAACAGTGCATTTGTTTGGGTAAAATGGATAACTAAAACACAGTAGTTGGATATAAAACTGTAAAAGTTAATTCTACTAAAAATGTATGAAGAATATAACTCTTACAGAGCTAATTAAGTTTAAAATGATTAAACAAAATCTCAAAACTATGATAAATGAACAACATTTTATATTTATCATATGATAACGGGTTTCACTTACCAAAGAACCAATTATTTTCTCACTGGTGTAAAAAGCTGAATGAAACAAATAAATAAAACTATCAGTAACAGCTTTAGCAATAAGGGTGGAATAAAATGATAAATCCTTTTACAACATTAAACTCTTTAGATGAATTATTTTTTCTGTAAACAGGTAAATAAAAATAAGTACATACACTTTTCTTTTTCATCTTTATGAAGGGTGAAATAAACTTGCAGTTTATTTAAATTAACATCTTGATCTTGAGGACAGTACAAGTTTCGTACAGCAATACTATGTAAATGCCGCAGCCTTCTCTGGAATATTTTTAACAAAAATTAACAGAATAACTAGAAGATTTACAAAAGTTATGCAATTTAATCATTTTTAAATCAGTTTCAACCTTATTGTTAACAATTAGCGTTTTAGAGTTGACATTAGCAAATATGATATAGCACTCCTTCTTTAAGAAGATTATATTATTGTGGCTTTATCTGACCATAGTATTACAACCCTACCCAAAATTGGGTTATAGTCAAATGGACAATAAAACAATAGCCCCCACTCTACTCCATTCCACCCTAAAATATAAATGACCATTTCTCATGAAAACAAACATGCTCTTTAAAATAGAACTTGCTGCCGTAACTCAATTACCGGATGGATTTACATACCTGCTACTAGATCTACTACTTAGATCTAACTACTGAAGTAATACCAGAGAATGAACATTTCATTGAAATGCAAACAAATGACTTCTGTCAGAGTACTCAGAGTGAGTAGGTTTCTTACTTTCTAGACAATTCCATTTTCTGACATCAGTTTATCTAATACTCCTTTTTAAAATTTGCAACAAGATCTAGCATAGAATGATCTATATTAAGCTCCTGTTATTTATTTTCTCTGTTGGCCTACCCTGCCGGTTCTTTTTTTAGCACTGCCAAGTCTACTGGAAAAGTAAGTATTAAGTAATCAAGTATTATTAAGTTTAAGTAAAGATTAAATCATTAAGAAGTAGTCAGTAGTGGACAGACACTTGTAAAACATGTATTAACAAACCTGATAAGTAGGTAAATTGAATGGGCTTTTAACCTCTGTAGGAAATTCCGCTCCTTGCATTTTAAGTTTTTTTTAAATTTATTTTAAGAAATTACAAACATTTTTAAAACTGTTAGATGTCTGGCATATTGCTGGTGTCAACAACAATACAGGGGCAGATAGACAGGATACCATATTTTGATCACATGACTTCAGTGGTTATTTAAAAAATATACCATACAAATTTAGTGTGTGCTGCTTTTCGTGATTGTATATTATATTGGGGTAAAGTATTTTAATCTTTGTTTTTAAAATGTATTATAATGTTGATTTAGAATGTTAAAAATAATAAATATAAATAAAAATACGATTTAACATCACCAGTTACTACTTGCATAACAAGCATTATTCCGCACAAGCAGCAAGTAAAATTCTAATTTTTAAAGTAAAAAAAATCTATAAATAGAATTGACTCCAGCAGATGAAGTTTTTTTATGGTTAGGGCCTACTTTCTGTTTTACAAGTTACAAAATTTCTAAGTTTTTCACAGAATTTAGAATCCACTAGATTTACTGAAAATAGATCTACACCATATAAATCTAGATCTAGATTAATATGGCTGGTAGCTTTTGGTCAAGCTCACATTAGTAAGTACTGCAACAACTACCGTCCCGGCGTCCCCATAACTCACTCACTGACTCAGTACTCTAGATCTAGAATTGTAGAATCTAGATTCTAGATATACTACTAGTACTAGATCTAGATTTACTACTAGAGATCTAGATCTACTCTAGATCTAGACTCTAGATCTAGTAGTGAGTCAGTCACTGAGTTAATTAATAATTAATCCTGTGCTGTCCTTTTTATTTTTAGTTTTTAATTTTGTTTGGCTGATCGATTTTTATATCTTCAGCATTGTTTATTAGCTTCACAGAACTTCACAGCTTGAACTCTCAGTTGTTCATTTCTGATCCAATTTTTTAATATTCTAGGCCTAATTAATTAAATTAGGTTTTTAGCGCAATTTCCATACTGACAATTGCGATTATTAATTCGTTATTTCTCGATGGATGGATGTGTGTCCGCAGCTTTAAGTCGTATCTCCTCCTCAACGAAGCAATATCGAGGACTAGATCTAGTTCCTGGATTTCCCGGAAAAGCCAAAAAACCTTGAAAAAATGCAGTTTTTGGCCCATATCTCGGCAACCAGACCACTTAGCGACTTGAAACATTTACCAATCGATTCCTGCCATAATTTAGAACAATATTGCCGAAGAGAGTTTTCAAAAATATCCTTTCGTTCGGTCACAAAAAATTAATTAAGGAAATTGCGCTTAAATTGTCACTAGACTTTTTATTAACTTGTTTTGTATTACTTTTTTCATTTTTGCAGCCAACAGTGGATTCTTGACAGACAAGATTTGTGTAGAGAGAGGCATTATGACCTGACAATACTTACAGAAGATGAATATCAAAAGATTATGATGCTTTTTGCAAACTGTAAGTAGTAGGTCTATATATTTACGTAACACCATACAAATAAGGCCGATGCTAGCCGGAAAAAGATATGCATGCGCAATGGAGAGAAACCATGGCTTGCCTTCACGGTGATGTTTTCGATGGTACTGCGCATGCGTGTGTTTACAACCGCAGAATTCTAGCCCTAACCCTAATCCCATCCCTAACTCTAATCCTAACCCTATCCGCTAACCCTAAAAATAACCCTAAACCCTAGGTCACTGCGCATGCGCAGAACTATCTTTTGCTGACTAGGTGGAGATGTCGGGCGAAAAATCTTTTTCCGAGTAGTCATTTCATACAATTAATTTATAATCACTGGGAGTGTGCCTGAAGATATAGCACTTAACTTTAAATGAAATAAATAAGCCAATGCTATCTGTTTGTTTTTAATTTAAACAAATGTGGATATTGTCATTAGGTAAAATAACAATGTATAATCTATTGCTGTTTGATCTTATCAATAACACCTAATTGTTTTTATTGTATCTTTTTCTCAAGCTAATATACCATTGTTAGATCTATATTATGTTATTTTCTATTTCACTTGAAGTCATTCAAGCTCTTGGAGAGCAGCTAAAGTTCAGGCAGCAAGTTATTGCCACTGCTACTGTTTATTTCAAGAGGTTTTATGCCAGGTAATCAACTTTGTAGTACTTTTTGCTTTCTCTTTAAAATTATAGCTTTAATGTCATTTGAAAAAAAATCTATTTATGCATGTCTGTTGGTATTTACATATATCAAAACAAGAAAAAAATTCTGACATAGAAAAACAAAATTTTATTACAATGTTTCAGCTGTCAATTTAATTTTCATTCTTGCAGCTTTAATCCTAATAACTGAATACACAGTGGAACTTAAAGGTTATTAGACTGTGTTTTGTATTTTTTATCAAATTTCTTTTAATAAATAATTTCAGAAATTCACTTAAGTGTATAGATCCTTGGCTGATGGCACCAACTTGTGCATTTTTAGCTTCTAAAGTAGAAGTAAGTATTGTGAAATACTTTTGAAGATTTAGTTTACATCTAAGATTGTACAGCCAATAAATAATTTTCTTAAACATGAAATAATAATACAAATGTAGTTTGTGTTCATTGTCTTTGACACCTGGTTGTTTTGTTGGGTTTTTTTTTAAATATTCTAAAAATGTTTTCAAATTTCTACATTTATCCTTTTAAATTGAATTGTTATGTTTTTTTTTTAGGAATTCGGTGTTATATCAAATAGTAGGCTTATGACAACCTGCCAAAATATTGGTAAGTCAAACATACTCATTCTGCTTAACTAACATGAAAGTTAAACAGCAATTTGCTGGAATAAGGCATAATAGTTATCATTATTTAAAAAGTATTTAATGTAATTAACAATGTATTTAATTTCAGTAAAAAATAAATTTAGTCATGCTTACAATGGAGAATACCCATACAGAACACAGCATGTTTTAGAGTGTGAATTTTACCTGCTTGAGATGATGGTAACAACTTTTTTATGTTTTCATTACAATATTTGTTATAAAAATGTAATCAACCAAGAAGTTGTGTAAGTAAACTTAACCTTTTGTTCCTGGCAATCCTGTTTCTGTGACCTTGAGTTATAAAGGAACAATCTGAACATTGTGGTCAGCACTGATCAGAGCTGGGTAGACTCTGTGGTATTATACAAACTTGAGTAGTGTAGTATTCTGTTAATCTCATGTTTCAAATGCTTCTAGGATTGTTGCTTGATAATGTACCACCCTTACAGACCTCTTGTAAAATTTTGTGCTGATCTGAATTGTGAAGCGGATTTATTACCTGTTGCATGGTAGGTGCTGTTTTAAAAATTCAATTTTCTTCTGTAACTTTTATATTGTGTGGTTGTGCTAGCAGTTAATTTACATTCTACCTAAGCTGTCATCTTCTCCATTTTACTGTTGGTTAAATATACTAGATGCTAATTGTCTGTTTTATATATTTAGGAAAATGGTAAATGATTGTTTACGGACAGATGCACCATTGTTGTATCCACCATATCTTATTGCACTTTGTAAGTAAGAGGATTTTAGGAAATTTAAATAATTAATCACAACGCAGTGAAAAACTTTGAGCTATTTTAATTAATTTTTTTTTTTGGGTAGTTATTTATTTCTTTAATTTGAAAATTTTAATTTACTACTTTTGATTATATTTTATAAGATACATGTTTTTATTATTTTTAAATTATTGTAACTGTCAAAATCTTTAAAATATCTCATTTTGCTAGTGAAACAAACTTGATACATGTTTTGAATGCCTAAAAATGTCTTTGTTTTTACTTTACATATAATAGTGATAGTTGTAAATAAATCTTATATACTCAACTTGAATTCAAATAACAGTCTGTTTTGTTTTGTTTCTATAAACCAGCTTGTCTTCATTTAGCCAGCATTATTAAACAAAAAGACATCAAACAATGGTGTGCTGAACTGAATGTAGATAATGATAAGGTAAGAAATATGTCTATAGCAAAGGTTTTGAATCGCCTGAGAATAATAAATCCTGAAACAAAACTTGTTTAAATCAGTTCCAAAATAATAAAATGATTTAAGTGACCTATTGCCTTCAAATATTAAAATATATTAAAAGATTAAACATGAGTGAACATTTCCAGTGTATGGAGGTAACACGCATGATGGTATCTTTATATGAGCTGTGGAAGACATATGATGAGAAGAAAGAAATACAAGCTATACTAGCAAAAATGCCTAAACCAAGTCCTTCAAGGTAACTTGATGTGTACTAGTCTATTGAGTGTAACAGCTGCTTTCTCTATGTGAACTGAGTTTTGTTTTTAATAAATATCTGTGATGACTGGGGTGCTTTTTGTGTTTTTATTTTCTTTCTATTTGAAGTGTTCCATGTTGGGTTAACTAGTTTTTATTTTAAACTGAGTGTTGGTGTTTCTATAACTAGGATAAGTTTTATACCTATTCTTAGTAATTGACTTCATTGAACAGATGGTAGGGACAGGTCTCGCTTTAAAAAAAAATGCTGAAATTTTAAAAACAAATGGGAAAAATTATCTTAAAACTGTTAGCTCTTACGAACAGTGGCATAAGACATGGATTTCATATTTTCCAATACTATGAGCTAATTTTTAACATATATTAATTAAAAATATAATTTGATAAGATTAACAGCAGAAGAGTTTTTATGGAATTTTGCAGTTGATTTATTATGAGATAAGTGATTCAAATAAAACGTTTATTTAAAAAAATAATTTAAATGCTCTTCAAAACTAAACAAATGAATTAAAGTTTAGATCTGAGGTATGAGCCACAAGTGGTTTGTATTGTTTTACTATTCGTGTTTCTATAAAATGCTAGCTCAGTCTGTCGAAAATGACAAGTTAGTACATTGCCTGCCTTCTTTGGTTTGAAGTTGTGTACTTGATACTATAAATGTGTATTTAGTTTTGTGATCACTTCCATAAATGATGTCATGTGGAGGAAGGAGTGGTAGAATGTTGTAACAATTAAAAGGATAGCCTGAATTTTTATACATAGAGAATAAAAACAACCAATGCAATATTCAAGACCACAACACAGTATCGAAGTATATTATTTATATAAACTTTGCCAGTGGACCGTTATATTACATTTAGCATTTTAATCAAGCAAACTGATCAATAGACACTTATCCTGTTAGATTTCTGCTCTACTTTCAATTGTCAACGGTGATAGCAAACTAATAAAAACGATCATGTGATGGAGAGCTGGGGTTTAGCTAGTATTGTGGAAATAGAAAAAACAAAATCACTTAGAAGATTTAAGTGACATCATTAAAAGAATTCCCCTCTGGCACTTGTGTTATCTTGTTTATTTCTGCTGGATTTTAAACAGTTCTCGAGATTTGAATCAATTGTACACACATCTTTTTTATTTACCCATCACACTTTTGAGAAATGTCATTTTTACTCACATCTTCAAACCATGACATCATTCTGACTGCATGAGTATGTATGATGTATATGAAATGATTTTTCAAATAATTTGCCAGTTAAGTAAAGGTTCAGTTAAAAAGTATTTTTCACTCTTCTGAAAAGTTTGACAAGAGCGTAAGCAACTCCTTGCTATTGTTGTCTGAATGCTTTAAATCAGTCACTGCTATTTGTGAGCAGTATTGACATCAAGTGCACTTGACCATAAAAGAGCTGACACATTCTAGATAATGGTGATGCAAATTGTCAATTCACTATCCTATTTAATTTGATTTTCAAGTTTTATGAATGAAAAAAATGTCTTTCAGACCCCCTTCAGAGGCACCAAACCTGCAAGATGGTAGCTCACAGCAACAGCAAAATCAGCAACAACAAATGTCTTCAGGGGTTTCTTGATTTAAGCAGTTTCCATTCTCAAACAATTGTTAATACTGTATATAGCTTTATTATACTGTACCTTGACTGTATTATAAATAATCGTGTAAATTCTTATATTAGTGAGATTTATGACTGCCATAGTTAATTGTAGTTTTCTGTCAAGGAATAATTGTGTGTACATTATGCTCTACTTTATTAAAATCTGATCCCTGGTTTTTTGAGGCTGTAAAATATAATTTATGTTTAAAAGCTAAAGCAGCTGTATTAAATATTTATCCATCATTTGACAAAATGAGTTCATTAATCATACTGTAATTTTTTTACATTATATATCTTTTTACCATTTAACACTACCTTTCAAAACTTGGTAGAAGTAGAAGTATTTTAAAATTGACTTAATCAACTCAATGAATGTTTTTGTTTTCAAATATAACTGACTTTTAAAGAATGTTTATAAATTGCAAGCAATTATTGTTGATTAATCTATACTCAAATAATAATTAAATGTATATCCTGAATAGATTTGCAATTAATTAGTGTGAAATCTCTGGCTTAGATAAGACTATTTTTATGTCATAATACCTTATCAAAAATGTATTTTAGTATTAGCATTAGAACTCAAAAAAGAAATTATCTTTTTATGTTATGTTTTAAGCAAATGATTTATATATTATGGAATGTATGAGTTGGGCTTTCTGTTGTACTCAATGCATTTAAAATCAAAAGATGTATTCAAAATAATTCATTTTTCTGGTGTGTTACATGATTATATTCTTCTAGTTTTCTGGTTAGAATACAGTATCGATCAATATAGGCATTTTAAAAACATAATTGCTTTAACTTAGACTACTTAGAGAGAAAAATGTATTATGATGCTAACTAATATAAGCCACACTGATGACATAAGGCAGCTCACTGTTAAAAAAAGAAAAATAACTTCTGTATTGTGATTTCATCAATAAATTTAATACAAACAGTTGTTAAACAAAAAAAACAACTAAAAAAGATCTTTTACAATTATTTGAACATTCAAAGATAACAGTTTTAAAGTCTTTGGTCAGTTTCTGTTTAAGTGTCAATACATTTTTTTCTGCACTGCTTCTAATTTCAAGTTTATTTATTCCTATTATAAAAGTCACATCTTGATAAAGGGGATTTACACAGGAAGTCACCTGCTTTTCAAATAAACAGCTCAACTGTAGGTATTGATCAATGAATATAAATGGTATCACAGATAAAAATTATGTATTCTAAAAATAATTTAATATATTATAAAAATAGGGTTAAAAATCACATTAAATAAAATATGGAAATTTTTAAAAGACTCAACGGTTAAATAGTGTGAAACTGTTTCAAAACAAGCACAGTATCACCTATCAGATCTAAAACCATTTTGTTACAATTTAAAACTACCTGCAGATCATTTTTTTTTTAAATAAATGAGTATTTTTACATGTTTTTGTAGGTTATACAATTTATTATGCTACTGAACTTGCTGCCGCAGTAAATGTGCAAAATCATTGGCATCTAGAGTTATTCTTTCACCAACTACTCTCATGTCAGTGCCATCTAGTGCTATTATATCACTGGCTCTTCTCAGGTGAGACTGGGCTTCATGTGAGGCTGCCAGTTGATACAGAACGCCATCAATTTCAAACTGACCTGCAATACTCAACAACTCCTGGCTCCTGCTCCCCTGTAATCAGAGTTAACAGGTTATATGATAGACACACAGGGGAATAGTTGTAATATATCTTGTAATTATTGTAAGAGGGTTAACAGTTTATAAGATACTAATAGACCTGTTGCATGCACATTGGTCCGATCAAGTTCTAGTGAAGCAACAACTAAGCATTTCATCAATGTGTGACCTTCAGCTTCAGCAACGATTCTGGGCGGTGTAAGGGCACTCTTGGAGCCACCATTTACACAACCACAAGGGCGTTAGAGTGAGCCACAGGGGCGCTGGCGGATGCATCTGGTGCACTTAGAAATCATATACACATCAAGGGGAGGCAAATCAGACTTAGGTCATGGGGGGGGGGGGTCAAATCTGTTAATATTGCAGAATGCCATGGTGGACATATAATCTGACAGAGGCGTCCACAGTTTTGTGACAGAATCAATCACAAGCTGTGCTTTTAAAGCTGGAGGTGTGTTTGCCACCTAACTTTACTGAATGACCAAAAAGTAGAAATGTTAAGTTCTGAAAACTAACTCATTTCTGGAATTAATTAATTAAACTTAAATTACCTGCCCTCTCCCATTGGCCATATCATCCATAGTGACATCAGCAACAACATCAGCTCCTACTGCTATGCTATCATTGGATAAAGTCTCTAGGTAATCTACACCATGAAGATTGAAATCTTCACCTGTCTCACTTAAAAGCTGCACATCTTCCATAGATGAACAATTGCCAAACATTTCACCTTTAGTCAGAAGAAAATGACATTCTTTAAAACTTTTCAATGTTGTAAATAAACTTAAGAGGAAGATTATTGAGAAAAGTCTGAATTCCTAAATAAGTGTATGATATGCAAATAGAAATGTAAGTTGTAATTACTTTTATTTTTAATAACTTTTTAAAAGCAATACTTAAGTATAATTCTAAATGTTGAGATATTGCAATACATTGCCCTGACATTGCACCAAACAAACTAAAACATAACACAAAAACAGCTCACCTGTATTGACAACTTGATTTCTCTCATTCAAATAAACTATAGTTTCTGCTTCCCTGTCTTCCAGTTCTTGAAGGTACCTTCCAGCCTCTATGAGATCATTAAAGATTAAACTTAGACATTTTTTTAAAATTTGCAACTCCACATTTTATAAAAAATATTTAGGATGCTGCATTGTTTCTACCAACCTGAAAAAAAATCTTACCCTGAGTTTCAAGAATGTCTTGCTGGTCAATCAAATGCTGCCTGACCAGTCTCCTGCTGTGGCCCCTCCCACTATAGTCATCCTCATCATTTGAGTACATGCCATCCTCAGCATCCTCCAGCACCACACCCACTGAGTCCTGGTCCTCGTAGTGTCTGTGTATGTAAGCCACATCATCACCACTGTGGACTTCCATCCCATGAGCACCTGACATGTGCATCTTCATGACAATGTCACTGACAAATGACTGCATACACATGTGACACTGAGCAGGGAGCAAATGTTCTCTGTGGGAGTTGATGACGTGGACAGCCAGGTCATATGTGCGCATGAAGGACACACTGCAGAATGGACAGCAGTACGTGGTGCTGTTTGCACTGTGTAAGCTGTTCTTCATGATGTGAGGCGCCAGCAAGTGGACTTTCCTGGCATGTTCTGACAACAAACGACTTGAAGGAAAACTGCTTTGACATTCTGGACAGATATGAGCTTCAGTTTGTAGATGTTGGCTTCTTACATGGTTATACATTGGATGTAGACTCTGATAGCCTGTAACAAGCGTTAGAAATTTACAACAGGAAAACTTTTTTTTTATGTACATTTAATGTAACAATTTTTTCTAATAAAACTAGAGATGCTTTGAGTTTTAATTATTGAATGAAATTAAACTGACCTGCTCCACAAAATGGACAATGGACTGGCACTGCCCCATTGTGAAGAGTGACTCTATGTACAGATGCCAACTCCATGTTAGGCAGCCATGCTGGGCAGAATGGGCATTTGAGTTCACCTTCCAGTGTCTGCTCGTGTGCTTTTTTTAGGTGTTTGTGTAAAGCAGGGCCTGACTCAAAAACTTTGTCACACAAACGGCAAATGTTATACTGGTTAAGTTCAGGGTGAACTTTCAAAGTGTGACTCAGTAACGATGCTCTGTCACTGAACACAATATTACACCTAAAAATAAAAGGTTAACATTGTTCAGTTGCAATAATTTAAAGATAACTCAGAATGGAAATTATTTTCCACTTTCAGATTAATTAATGTTTTTTTTTCTTCTACCACTTTAAATGGACATATTTCAAATGGAAAAAAACAGCAATTCTAAATCTATGTTCTTACATTAAAGTAAAGAGTTATATTTATAACCACCAATGTACAAACTGGTAAGATATTCAACCATGAGACAGTACCTGCTACAAGATAATAAAGATCTCTCTCCTCTAATCAGCTGATGATGGGGTGTCAACAGGCTGACTAGGCTTCTACGTGGATGGGCCTTAGATCAAAAGAGGCAGAAGTTAATATTTGGATATGAGACAAGTGAATACAAAACATAAATTCCTACAAGTATTTTAAAATGATAAACACAGTTTAAACACTGGTTAAATATTGCCTTATTTTTTTTTAAGGTAAAGTGGAAAACTAATTTAAAATGGTTAAAAGTTGAATTAATCATCATGTTATTATTTTTAAGCAAAGAAAAGAGTGTTCTTAACTTTTTTAAATTGAAATTTAAAGGTTTATAAAAATTTAAAGAAAAAATAAAAATACATTGTGAGAAAGATCCATGTGAAGTTCCAGCTCATGTTTATCCAAAAATTCAGAATGACAAAACCTGCAGGTTTCCACATAATGTTCAATCCCATGCTGTAGATGCAAATGGCGCCTAAGCTTAGGTGGTGTGGCAAAGTAGATGGGGGGATCACAGCACACAGGACAAGCCAAGCGGCTTCTGGCTCGTAACTCCTCTAAATAAACTGTATCCCTGGATTCACAGGTACTGTGGTGAGATCTCACATGTGTGAAGAGGACGTAGTCACTGGGAAAGAGGCGAAGGCACACTCGACAACATGGAAGACCTGGGCGAGGTCCTGCATCCACTGCCGCTTCATTCTCAATGGGAACAGAATAATCATTTGCTTCTGAGTCAGATGGGACATCTGTAACTAGTAAAAATAAGATCAAAAGAACCATAAAATTTGCAAATAGAAAATTGTTTCCCCCCCCCCCCCCCCCCCCCCCCCAAATTTTGGACATTAGCCATAATTCTTTTAATATATTCCTCATTTCTTACCATTAATTTCAATCTCTTCTTTCACATCTATTGTATCACAGTCTATATTTATTGTGGCATTGAAATGTAAAAATTTGAAAGGCTGATTTTCTAATCTATTTTCTTTCACTTCATCTCCCATACCTAGAAAAAAATGAAATACAGATCAACTGTAATACATTTATTTAAAAATAATTATGTAATGACATTATTTATTTAAGAATAAACATATTTTTTCTAATAAGCCTCTCACCTAGTGATATATGACTGCTTGGCTCCTGAAAGGTAAGTATGATTGCTTTAACTGTCATTTTATCAATTACATGTACAATTAAAATACACATAGTTGTTCTAGCTCTTAAAATGCAGTCAGATAGATGTTAAAATTACTTTTTTTATTTAACTGCTAATAGGCAAGAAATGAACTGGATGAAAACTTACTTCCACTATTTGAATATTTCTAGATCGAGTTCTAGGTATGAGTTCTGTACCTCCAGGGGGAATAAGCACTTCCATGACAACATCACCCATGGCTGAGAGGGGAAACATCACAGGGTTATAATCTCCAGTCTGGCGAGACTTCATAACTGTTTTAAAAATAATGTACAGCACAGCAATAAAACAATTTTAAATCTTTTCAATGATTCAAATTAGAAAAAAAATTTTTATAGAAACTTTTAAAGAAACAATGAAACAAAGAATTTTTTTTTTATAATTAGTAATACTTTGTATTATATATAAATGTTTTAGATACCCATTTCTTCTCTTTTAACCATCATTTCTGCTCTCTGAAGTGCAGGTGTCATGATCTGGCTCAGATTGTACACAATAGGCATCCCATCCTTGAGATAAATGTGTACACATCTCAAAGTTTCATCTATATGAACCAGTAATAAATTCTTTATCTCATTCACTAAATATATCAAGCTGTTGAATACACAGCTTGACTAGTCTAATTCAGCTATTTTTGGTGTTGCAAAAATTGAACATAAATTACCTCATTGCAATGCATAGGAGCTTGTGAAGGGTTAGCAAGATTTTTGACACGCCTTAGCATATTATCTCCCTTGATTGTGACAACAACATTATCTTCTCCTTCAGTGATGTCTTCCACTCTATTTATTAAATGATACATGACAAAAAATGTAGCTCAGCTATTGCAAGTCTCAAACTTTAAGGAACAGAATATAGCTTTTACTATTTACCTAGCATCAATGAACCTAGCATTGGCACTATGTTTGGCAACAGCTTTACAGTAGCGCCGTACGTTGTCTCTAAGTTCTAGTGGTGTCATGTAGTCATGATCATGTAGGACAACAGCTGGGTCTCCATGCTCAACATTTTTGTCAGCAACCATTTTCTCCACAGGTCTAAAACATCTTGTTTCTTTATTAATTCTGAAATCTAAAAATTTTATTCTAATAAAGGTATTATCATTCAACTGAAAGTATTTTTTAAACAAGTTCCAAATTATCTAAATTATTTTAAGAATATTCCAATGTAATTTTTTTAAATAAACATTTTCAATGCAATAAAATCTTTAGACAAATAAAGATTTTGTTTCAAATCTTAATACTGAAATTCTAAAAACTTAAATTCTTTGCTCAGTTAATAACATGCAATTTTAGTATATCAAAGATTTAAACACTTCTAATAAAGGAAGCTTTTTAAAAAGTATCTGTATATAAATGTGACATTTAAAAAGTATCGGAATATAAATGCAACAATAAGAAAGTATCTGAATATGAAATAATCTCAATATGAATCTGATATTTTTCTTAACATTTACCTCTAGGTGGAGTACTGCTCGGTGAGTGTATTTTTCTTCTCAATATCATGGTTGGGCCTTTCTTGCGTTGTTCAGGTGAAACCAGCACAAGACGAGGTTTAGGTTCAAAAACCATACAGAAGGGACCAACTATGATTAAGCTTGTCTGTAATTTGTAAGATTAATAATAAGGAGTTTTTTTATTATAGATTAAGTTCTAATAATATGGTCATAAGATTGTCATTATAATTAATTCAAAATAATGAATATTACTTTTCAGTAAGAGTGAAGTAGACACAAACCTTTCCATCTTGATGAAAAGTTGATTGTGGAATAAAAAACTGGTCTCTTTTAACATCCCCAATCTCTGGAGAACTTGATGGTAACAAACTTATTAGTTCATAGTCTCTTTCCAGAGAAGATATTGATGGAAGTGTTATGGTGGTGGGTGGTGCCTTCAAATTACTTTTAGATGGGACTTAAATGGAAAATAGAACTTGTTACTAATGAAATGAAACAGATATTTTAGATTAATGATGAATGAAATTGTTTTCAGACTGTTTTTAAACTGAAAAAAAAAGTATTCACCAGGCTGTTTAGAACCATCATCTCCAGATCCTCTAATTGTATCAGTACTATTTGGTTGCATTGTAATTCTAAAAAAAAGGACAGTAAGTTATTAGTTTTAAAATAATACAGTTTGTATCTTTAAAATATGTATTCCAAAACAAAATCCCTGGCTCATGACTGTGAGACAAATTATCTTATTGCAAATGTTTTTAAAATGGTCTTACTCAGGACTGTCAGTTGTGGTTTTGACTAACAGACAATTTTCTTGATCACTTCTTTCTTTATGACCTTCTATTTTGTTGGTATCTGAACTTGACCACAGAGATGTAAGGGGCTGTGTTGACTTTACTGTATCACTATTAAGCTCAATTATTTTTTGTCCACCATCTTTATCGACAATACCTAGCCTAAAATTTTCAAATTTCTGACGGTTCTGTGCTAGGTTTGCATCAGGCAAAAGACTTTTAGGAAATTTTACAGGAAATCCTCTGTTAGCTGCATTGCTTTTTTTCTTTGTAGGATTGGTCTTTTTTTTTATCTGAGAGACTTTGGCTTTTTTTGGAATGGTGCTATCTTTCTTTTCCTCACCAACAACATGAATTTTTCTAGGCCTACCCCTTAAGCGCTTCTCAGTAATCACTTTTTCTGTGTGTGCCCCAAGCTGCTTAACAACATTTGCTTTAACTTGTTCAACTTTTTGGGGTAACAGATCCTGAAAACTTTTTTGATCCACTTTCCACTGGTCCCTCATATAATTGATCAAATACTCATATTTCTTTTTCTCTCGAACTCTTAACTTTTCTTTGAGTTTCTCCACACACTGATCTATATCTTCTTTTTCTGCATCATCATCTTCCAAAAGTTTAACTTCTTTTAAATTAGATTCAATAGTTTTCTCTCCATCTTCTAATTTCTTCATCAATTTATCATATCTTCTTTTTTTGCCATGCCTGTTTAAATCAACAGCTGCCAATAAATCATTTGGACTTGAATCTTCTCCAGAAGAGCCCTGCATTTTCAAAGCTACTTTTTTATTTACATCACGAAATATATAAACTTGTTGGAAAGCTGCTTCAGTTTTGAGTTCAGAATTCAAAAGAATGTGGGTAGATTCTCTTGACTTCTCCTCACATGCTGCAGATTTTAACTGATTAGAGTCAGTTTTTATTTCAGGTTCAACACAAAGTTCTTCATTAGTACTTGTTTGATTGTTTAATCTCTCGGTAACAGCAGTAGATTCAAGTGATAGATCTCGGTTTTCTATATCATTGTTACTTTGAAAAACATAAATTTTTGTATCTTTTTTCAAATTTTTATTTTTTTGTTTTATAATCTTTTTTAATTTTTTCTTTAATCTCTGTGTCTTTGATACAGGCTTTGGTGAATTTTTGCAATGACACATGGGCTTTTTATTATTTTCTTGATCTGATTCTAAATTTTCTTGACCCTCACCAACACTTGCATATATAGCAGTCTCAGAAATGTTTACTACTGGCTTCAACTCTAAGCAATTAAGAAATAATTTGGAATCATTATCTTTTTCAATTTCATCCTTGATCTCAGTATGTTCATCAATGTCACAGTTGTTGCTTTGCTTAGAACTTTCTGAAACTGTTTTTACTAATTTATCTTTTCTTTTCTTAGCAAGACGCGCTGAGAATTTTCTTGTACTTGATTCCATAAATCCTTTTTCGGTTACTTGCAGCATTGTATTGTGATTTTTCTTACATCCATTTATTAGAATCCGTGGTTAACTTGACATCATCTGGTAAATACAAATGGATATATATTAATAATATTTTGAAATTATGGCAGGTTAGCAATGCATTTGTTAAAAAAAATTCTAGATCTAGATTTATTGATTTAATCTTGCTTACACTATTATTTATTATTGTTAAAATTCCATATTTTAATTATAAATTATTAAGTCATTAATATTTAGGACTAGACTGACTGATCTATAGATTTACTAGACTAACTGATCTATTCTAGATCAGAGATCTACTATTAATCTATAATTATAGTTTCGCTGTCTGTGTATCTATCTCATCTGTGTATGTTTGTATCTATCTGTTGGGAATGCTTTTACTATATAGAAAAACACAAGCAGAATAAAAACATGCATATTAATACGAAGAATTAAATGTGACGTCACATGGAACATATAGTAGGAAAAATCCTAAAGCCAGGAAAGTACACAAAATAATATGATGTCACTGATTTTCGAGTAAACAATGAATTAAAAAAACAATTTTGTCTAATTTTAAAAGTGGTTTGCGTGAAGAGTGTCTTTCATGCATCTCTTCGAGTAGGGGCAAAGCCCCCACACCCCCCCCCCCCCCCCAAAAAAAAAGAAACGAAATATAATTTATATAGAAAATATATACTTTTACCAGTGTTGGCTTCCCCCGCCCGGGAGAATTTTATTCCATTCAAGTGCCCCACCATTGGAAGAAAGTCTGAAACAAACACTGTCTTAGTGAGTGAGGTTTATTGGCCAAAAGTAGTAAACGGGTCTATATTATATTAGTAGGCTCTACTTTTAGTCTGTATGATCTACAAATGCAACCAGTGTTTCTTTTAGAAACGCTAGAAATTTTTTGGGGGCGGTGGTGGTGGACTCAATTTTCTGGAGAGAGGGCGGGCACTGGTAAAAGTATATTTTCTATATAAATTCTATTTTGTTGAATGGGACGGTAGACGTGGTTTGGGGTAAGGGAGAGAAGCCCCCTCCCCCCACCCCCACATAGAGTCACCTGAAAGAAACTCGAAATGCGACTTTTGTCATGTTTGAGCTTAGGTGCAAGGTTTAAGGGTATGGCTACAACTGCATTCAGTGCAGAAACTACGTGTAAATCAAGCTTAAATTAAATCAGATTAAAATGCCAATTCTGGATAAAAATACATTTTCAATGTAATTTTTCATTGCCGATTGAATTTGAAATGGTGATTTTGGTTTTGAGAAAAGAGACAACACTATCAACTATCAACCTAGCGCCCCTGTGTGTTGTATCTCTCCCTAAATCTAAAACTGGCCATTTATCTGGTAATTAGTATTTTAGTAATTAATAATAGGCTAATAACTAGGCCTAATAAATAAGTAATATTATTATAACGAGAAAAATGGCCCGTTGAGGAAGGGTACAACGGGCGCTAGGCTGATAGTGCTGTCTCTTTTCTCTAAACTAAAACCAACCCACCCCCCCACACACCACCCCCACCCCCACACACCACCCCCACCCCCCCACCACCCCCACCCCCACCCCTCACCCCCACACACCACCCCCTCCACACACCGCCCCCCACCCCCCACCCCCCCCCCAAAAAAAAACAACATGTCTACCGTCCCATTCAACGAAATATAATTATATACTTTTTCCAGTGTCCGCCCCCTCCCAGAAAATTCTATCCCCGCCCCCAAAAATTTCAAGTACCCCCACCCCTCTCCGGGGAGGAAAAAGTCTGAAAGAAACACTGAAACCAACCCACCCCCCCCCCCACCCCCCACACCCCCCCACCCCCCCACACACCACCCCCCACCCCCACCACCCCCCACCCCCAAAAAAAACATGTCTACCGTCCCATTCAACGAAATATAATTATATACTTTTTCCAGTGTCCGCCCCCTCCCAGAAAATTCTACCCCCGCCCCCGAAAATTTCAAGTACCCCCACCCCTCTCCGGGGAGGAAAAAGTCTGAAAGAAACACTGAAACCAACCCACCCCCCCACACCCCCCCCCCCACCCACACACACCACCCCCCCACACACACTCCCCCCCCCAACCCCTCCACCCCCCCCCCCCCCCAAAAAAAAATCATGTCTACCGTCCCATTGCAAGAAAACCACTTTTTAGATTAGACACATTAATTAGGCGGTAATTTTATTATAGAGTATCGATGAGGAAATTTCTTTTGAGTTGGGGAGGGGCTCAGACGTTCTTACGCGGGGGGTGGGGCTTCGCCCCTACCCGAAGAATTGTATGCAAGAAACTCTTCACGCAAACCACTTAGATTAGACAACATTTCCTCTTTATTCAATATTTACGCCAGAATCAATGACGTCATTATATTACTGTGAGATTATTTTCTACTCTGTGCGCTAAATGTGTCGACGTCATACTTCGTTTTTCGAATTACTATGCATGTTTTTAAATTGCTTGTCTTTTCTCTAGAGCGTTCTTGTCAGACAGATAGATAGATAGATAGATAGATAGATAGATAGATAGATAGATAGACAGACAGCGAAACTATTAGTATTAATATTATTGTTATAATAATAGACAAATAATTATATTTAATATTTTTAGTCTTTAGTATTAGTCATTAGACTATTATTTATTAGAATCTCTATTGAACGTAGATCTAGATCTAGACTAGTAGTAGTAGATCTAGACTCTAGATTTAGACGCACTAGACTGTCGGTAGTGTAGACTGTAGGGTAGGAGTAGGAGGGGAGAAGAGCAGAACTTTACTTTAAAATTTCAAAGATGATTCTAAACTTTGAAGAGAAAATTTTAAGGAGGACAGAGAATAAAAGTAAAGAAGTACTGATCACCCTGAAGTTTTTTCGGTATATCTTTCTCGACTAGTCTAGATCTAGATTATTTGGTCTTGTGTTTACAAGTAGCGTAGTTGATTACGCAAATGTTACATCTTTTTCCTTGTTAACCGTCAAACCTCGTAGTGGAAATCGGGAATTTCCATTATATTAATAGACAATGATTCCGTAAAGGAAATTTTCTTTAGAAGCCAAATCCACATCATAACATTGCAGATAAAATATTTCTTTAATCTATGTTCCAGTTTTAAAATTATCAAAATTAAAATAAGAAAATTATGTCCAATCTTTTCCAGATATACCCCACCATTAATGCAAAAAGTGCACGGGCAAAAAGTTAAGCCCCACCACTTTTTGCAACGCTAACTTGGACGACTGTCTTGACCTAGTAGGCCAGTCACAATAGATCAAGACAGTTAAAATATTTTAACGCACGCCATAACAGTTCTCTATCCGCCTCTGGGGTTTGGGTTAAAAACTAATAGTTTAAGTTTCATTATTTCGTCCTCTTTTTATCTTTTTTTTGGGGTGGCAGGCCAAACATTTTTGCTGGGCTTATCTGGAAAATAATATATGTAGGCCTATATAACTATTAAAGTTAAGCCCATAGTATCCGTGTAAAAAAAATAACAAACAAACAAAACTCAGCGCTTAGCCTAACGTGTAGTGCAAATAAATCACGATATTCAATCCTACCCTGGAGTCAGCCATATAACAAGCAACCTCTAGATTTTCAAAAAATTTTAACAATATTTCTTTTAGACTTTTAGGCATCTCCCTCTCCCCGGTGAAATAGAATGTTTACCAAAAATTATGCTTGTACCCGTGTCTGCCACCCCCTCCCCCCCCCTCTTGGAGAAAAAAGTCGATTTAATTCCAAGGATTCAGTGATTCAATCTCAGGTAATATATATATTTCTATATCATGGAACCATTGATATCACAGCACACATACGTTAAGAATATTGTCAGCGCAACATATCAGCGCGTTCATCATCAGAGTTTCTTCCAGGCATCTCTTCGGGGGGGCTTTGCCCCCCCCCCCCCCCCCCCCGAAAAAATTTTACCGCCCCCCCGAACGAAATGAAATTTATATAATTTATATAGAAAATATATACTTTTAACAGTGTCCGCCCCCCCCCCCGAAGAAAGTTTACCGCCCCCCCCCCCCGAAGATTTCAAGTGCCCCCCCCCCCCCCGGAGAAAAAAGTCTGGAAGAAACACTGTTCATCATGTATATATAGGGCCTATAAGAACTGTGGCGATCATACTTTTTAATGTTATATTGTGGCCCAATATTCGGCCTGTGACTATTGTGATGGTATGTCGTGTGATTTCTTTTTTAATTTCATGCTATGACGAGCGAAAAAAAATGGTCGGACGAATAAGTAAAATGGTTTAAGACAAGCTACCATGATTTTTATGAAAATTGTAATTAGTAATTAAAGTTGAATACCACGCCATACGACGCAATGATGACCAGGGTCAGTTAATATTTTAGAAAGAAATAGGCCTAGCTGTTTTAAATATAATAGGAATAGGCCTAATCGTCATTAAGTAAAGTGTGTCATCAATTTTAGGAAGATCTGATTCTGATGACGACCGGGAGCGGGAGGGATTGAAATAGTGAAAAGAAGCTTTATTTTTATCTTATTTTTACAATTTACATTGTTTTTGTTTGCGTGTGTAATATTTTGGTTATTAGAGCTATGATTAACAGAGTTAAATTTCTTTAATTTTCGTTGAAAGAAGATCGCTAATATTTTTGTAAACAATATTTCAGTTCCAATAATTTTGTCAAGTCTGTGTTGGCCTGCTGTGTTCATATTATTATTAATTATTAGGCCTATAATAATTATTAATTAGCCTAGCAAAATATTGATCACTAGACATTTGCATGTTACAAGTAATAAATTATGACGCAAGGACAAATTAACAAGGAGGAATCTGATGTTCAGAAAAGTTCTTTGGAGAAGAAAAAGGACAAGGACCATACACCTGCAAAAGTGAGTTCAGTACAATGTACATGAGTACACTGAGTACACAAATAATTTAATAAGACATAAGATAATGAGATAAAGAAATATTTCAAAAACACGACTCAGTAATGGTAATCTAGCGTTTTAGGTAGGGACTTGGATGACGTAGATTTTGAGGCACTAAAAACGAGAGTTTTCTGCCCATACCGAGTTTCGTCGATTTAGCCGTGCGGTCGCGGGTGATGATCGAAAAAAAAATTTTTTATTAAAAATCGCCGATGCTACTAATAATTTGATGACTGATTCTGAAAAACAAATGGATTTCATATGTTACGGTATTTTTGTTTTGAGATTTTGTTGAAGGTGAAAATGGATTTTTGGAGCCAAACTTTGGCTACGTAAAACTCTTTGTACCATAAAAACTTACTAACAAGGAAGGCCATTAAAAAGCCCTCCGACCATAATCACCATTTTTCTTTATGTGTGTAAATTTTCATAATGTTAATCGATAGCAAAGTATTTTTTTATAAATAGTTTAGAAAGTATAGCCTTAAGCCATTTTACGACTACCGGGAAAGACAGAGGTTGAAACCGGAAGTGTACTTGTGTTGTTAATGACGCCATTGCTCTCAATTGAATTGATTTGTAAATCCAGCAACATCCACACGAATCTGACTTTAAAATCATTTTAAACTATAGAATTATATTTTATATTGATAAAACTATGATTTTTTGTTGACTTTGTGCGCATATTTTCTATTTAGATTCATTTTTTTGTAATTTTGAGTTAGATCTAAAAATAGATTTCTGCGAAATTTTTCAAGTTGAATTATTGTTTCATTTTAATTGTATGGCCTAGATATAGATCTATATTGTTCTTGAATGAGTTCTATATTTTATATTAGCTATCACTATAGTATCTTGTGTACTTTCCACATTTTTCTTAAATTTTAAAGCTTGATATAGGCCTAGATCTAGAATCTAATATAAAATTCCATTTGCCTATCATTTGGTCTATAAATTTTCTTATAATCAGATATAGGCCAATAGGGTAATTCTATATTAAACATTTAGCCTTTTGATTGCTTTTCAAGCGAATTTTTATTACCAATATTACTAATATTCAAACATTTTAGGAGTCCTATATTTTCTTTATAGCTCTAGGACTTTGTTCGTTTTAGATTTATTACTAAATTACTACAATCCTTGTACAATGTTCTGTCTTCATCTGTAGGCCTATTTGAAGTACATATGATACTACTGTATTTTTGCTGTAGTATACATCTCAGTTGCTTTTTTACTAGTCTTGGCCCTAGATAAAATGTACCAGTTCACAAGGGGATAGAGAATCAAAAGATGTGGATCTACTCATAAGCAACTTCAATGAAGGAGAAATAGGTCCACTTAAGAATGGATGTTGCTGGTTTTTATTACAGTTCTAAAAGCTATCAGCCAGAGGAGACACAGCTTCAGTAGATGTTTAATCAGATTTCATTTTTAAATCATTGATGGTGTTATTTTTTAAAGTAAAAAAGTGATACAAGCTAACAGACTTAAACATGTTATCCACACAGCATGAGATGTCACTTAGATATATGACAGATGTTTCTTAATTATACTCCACCAATAAAAAAAATCATTTCAATTATTAAATTATTTGTTCAACAATAATTGTAAATTAAATTATATCAATTCTACGATAACATACACATAACAGGGATGAAATATCATGCATATTGACAACATTTAGATACAATTTTAGTAATCTAAAATCAGTTTAGCATTGTACTTCTTTCTTGCAAAAAAGTAGTTGCGCAGAACAAAAATGACTTTTTAAATTTGACCAACATTGTAACAAAACCACATAAGCTAAGTGAAATATTTTTACTTTGTGTGGATGTATACAATGTTGGCACCAATTAGGCCAATTTTCATTAAGATATTCCATATAATAAAAATTTGGCAACAGATTATGTGTTGCCTATAGCAGAATTTATTGTTTAAAATTAAGGGGGGTATATGAGTTTAAACCCCTTTTTCATTAAATAAAATATTTTTAAAATCAAATTTGAACAAAGGAAATATCAAAGTATATAATAACCTTCATGTTTACAATATTTCTTGCATATAAGCAAAGTAATCTAAAATCAGCTCAACATTGTACTTCTTTCTTGCAAAAAAAGTAGTTGCGCAGAATAAAAATGACTTTTTTATTTTGTCCAACATTGTAATAAAACCACATAAGCTAAGTAAAATATTTTGACTTTCTGTTAATGTATACAGTGTTGGCACTATTCAGGCCAATTTTCAGTAAGATATTCCATATAATAAAAATTTGGCAACAGATCGTGTGTAGCCTATCAAAGACGCTTATTCAAAAATTTTAGGGGGGTGACCCTCTTTGTTAACATTATTTTCTATGATCATTCTCATCCAATTCAATTATTTTTATCTTACTCTTTTACTGATATCATAAGCTTGATCTTAGTGAATTTTCATTAAAAAATACCTGCTATTTAAAAAGTTACAGAGATTTTAGTTCGCATCCAAAAAAGTAGGGAAGCAAAAAATTGAGAAAACCCCATAGTAAAAAAACCCGAAAATTAAATACATTAAAAATTCATAACTTCGTAACCGTTTGAGCTAAAATTAAAATAAAAGTATCTTTGTTCTTGTCTAAATGAGCTCTATAAACTGGTGCTACTACATTATTTATTTTTTTAAAAATGAAATTTCATCCAAGTCCCTAGTTTTAGGTATGTAAAATCGCCAGCGACTAGTAATGTACGAAAAAGTTACCTCATTGTCAAGGCTTTAATAAAAGTAGATCTATATTTAATATTTATTCATTATTGTGATATATTTGCGTCAAATACTATAGATAAATGAATAATAAACCTAAATCAATGGGCTAAATGTATCATTTTTAGGCCAGAAATTAACTTTAAACGCGGGCGATTTTACGAACCTAAAACGATAGATTACCTCAGTAACGTCAGTAAATCACAGATTTTGTAGGTATTTTGATGAAAATATCCAAATTGGGATAGGTCTAGATCTAGTTGTGGTTGAGTCGGTAAAGCTCATTGTTTTGTAATTGTATTGTTGCTAAACCAAAAATGGATGATTTTAGATACCGATAATAGATTCTTTCATAAAATAGGTGTGTTGGGTTGTTAGTAGTATTGTAATCTCAACTAATTTTATGGTTAGAAATTACTATAGGACTAGTTTCACTAGGTTTGGGGCTAAGGTTAGGGACAGGGTTAGCATTGACATTAGCCAGCCATGTGTGTATTTAGTTTAATTACCAGTAACCTAACACCCCTTTTTTAAAGAAGATTCTGTTATCAGACACTGGTTTAAAAATCCCCCCCTCCCCCCACACCCCCAAAAAAAAATTCTGGGGTTCAAACCCTCAGGCAGATCAGGCTTGATAGCTGGTGACAGCAACTCCTCTAGGAGAACAACTCCAAAAATCAAGCAAATGCTGCCTTGTAGTTTGTTCTGATTATGGAAGCAAATACAAAAAGAAAAACAGGCTAAAATCTCGGATTTAGCTGCCTAAAATGGCCCATAACCAGTTGACACCTATACTTAATTGTGTTGGAGGGAATCCCTTCCACCACTAAAATTAAGAACAAAGAAGAAGAAGAAGGTTAACTTTTCATATCAGTGTTGGTTAATAGAATCTACTATAAAAAAGTGTGTCAGGTAACGGGTAGTGGTAGGTCTAAATGAAAATGGCTGCATTTATTCGGACCCGAGTCTGAATAGCCTCGACCGCTATTTGGACCAGGCAATAAATTTTTAAAGATAAAGTTATGCAATGTTATGCTAGGCCTTCCTGTAACACTTGTTATTTGAATCATTTAATGATACTAGGCCTAATACTTACCCAGATAAAAATTAACCATGTCATTACATCGCTAGCACTTTTCCAGTCACCTAGAGTAATAATTTACAAACTGATTGTTTCTGTGTTGGGCAGCAATATTCTAAAAAAATGTTTTGGTTACATAGGTAGTTATAAGGCGACTACCACCCACATTAACACCTGAAGAATTTGTACAGCAAGTTGCACCTCTCCCAGAGTATGACTTCTTTTACTTTGTTAGGGCTGATATGAGGTAAGCAAAAATGTAATATGTAATATTACTTCACAGCTGATTGGAAACTTTTAAAATTATCCAGATTTAGAATTCAAATATAAAAGTAAAAATAAAAAACATTTTTATTGTTATATTAAAATTTAAGCAGTAAGTCAAGAAATATGTAAATCTTAAAATTAAAAGTAGAAATAGAATTCAAAATATACCATTCTTGTAAGTTTTGATTTTTCTCTCTCTTTTTTTTTCAGTCTTGGTGCAAATGCTTTTACAAGAGCTTATATCCATTTCTTGGTGCCTGATGACATTTTTATCTTTAGAGACAAGTTTGATGGCTATGTCTTTCTTGATGCCAAAGGTAGTTTAATAAAGAAACAACCACCATGCAACACTTATGTACATACAAAACTCTAATCTGGGTCAAACAGTTGTTTTGGCTTCAGAAAAGCAGGAGAGCTCAAACACCAGTTGTGCTAAATGTTACTTAACCAAGATTTAGATCTTATAGATTGACCAAAGTTTCTTTTTCTAGAAGCAGGCCACAAATCATCAGTAATGTTCAGTAAGATTTTTACTGAACCCCTGTGCTGCTTCATGAAAGACTGCCTGAGTTTGTAGTGTTATCCCTGTTTTACAAACTTACTTTTTCTAAGATCTCTAATTTGATCTCCCATTTGTCATAAACAGGTGGAGAATATCCAGCTATTGTGGAGTTTGCTCCGTTTCAAAAAGTCCCGAAGAAAAAACCCAAAAAAGTGGATACGAAAAATGGAATTATTGAACAAGGTTTGTTACAGACAAGTGATTACAAAAAATCTTTGTATAATTAAAGAAAAATGTTGTTTCTGATAAATCTTAAAACTCTATTGCTGATCCAGATAGTGACTATAGTATATTTTGACATTAAATTCTATTGCTCTACCAAATAGTGACTTCATTTTTATAGATAAACCATTAAATTCTATTTTTCTACCAAATTGTGGCTATATGATGAATTAATAGATAAATCATTAAACCCTATTTTCTCACTAGATAGTGACTACAAAAAGTTTTTGGAAATCCTGACCAAACCACCAGATGCTGTTCCAGTATCACTAGATGCAATGGTTGTAGAAGTTGAGGCCAAAGAGAATTCTTTAGGTGAGTTGACTTTCAATGATGAAATGACTTTGTCTTGTCGGTATTAGTAGCTGTATCTAGTCTTATGACTTGCTTATGGCTTACTTATGACTTGCTAATGACTTGCTTATGGCTTACTTATGACTTGCTAATGACTTGCTTATGACTTGCTTATGACTTGGTTACTTTGTTCAGCCAAGTCTGGATCATCCAAGGTATCCACTCCACTGCTGGATTACTTAAGGAAGAGGAGGGAGGAGAGGAAGCTGAATATAGCTGTAAGTACACGCTGGAATTTCATGGTGGCAATCTCTGGTAAAAAAAAGTTAAGATTTTACAAAAAATTATATTGTAACAAAAATAAAGTTTATATTGTACAAAATGTTTTAATTGTACAAGAAAGTTTATTTTTTAACAAATGGTTTGTATTATACTAAAGTTTGGTGTCAACTAAATTTTTAAAAAATTGTGTACAGAAATTGAAGGAAGAGAGGAGACGTATTGGAGGAAGGGACAGAGATATTGACAGGAAAAGGCCAGTCAAAGATGACTTAGACCGACGCAAATCATCAGAAAAAGAAAGACTCAGAGACAGGGATAGGGACAGACGCAGAGATAGGGATAGGGATAGGGATAGAATTAGAGATAGGCCCAGAGAGATAGACAGGAGAAGAATAAAAGACTCTCCAAGATCAGAGAGGATAAAAGATGACAAAGATGTGGAGACCAAATGGCAGAGAGAAACTGAAGGAAAACCTAAGCAGGTGTGTTTGTTTAGATTTACTATCTTCTTAAAATAAAACATCAGTCTAAAATATTTTTTTTTAAAACATTATCATCATTCATTTTTTTTTATTAATGAAAGTGGTGTCATTATGTTTTTAAGTATTGATGACCAAGGTGTAAGCAGAAAAAAAAATTTGTTTTGTTTTTCTTAAAATAATTTAGCTTGCATTTGTAAAAATTCATTCAGTTATTTTTTTTTTCCCATATTTTAAAAAATATTTAATATTTTTAATTCACTCAGCTCATATTCTTAATTCATTTAGCTCATTATATTTTTAATTCAGTCAGCTTTTTATATATTTATTCATTCAGCTCATTATAATTTCATTAAGAATAATGTAACTATGTTATTTTTTAAGTTTACACGCCTTCTAAGAAATACTGAGAGGGACAAAGCCAGCTTTGATAAGGAATCTGGAGATAAAACAAGTTCTGCACTGGAAAAAGATGAAGACACTGATGATACTGTAGAAAGGTTGTCTGAGACCGATCAAGGCAAAATAGACAGAAAGGCAGAGGATTCAAGAGGGAAAAATATTGGAGGGAAGTGGTTGGATGACAGAAGAAGGGATGATGATAGGCATGGGAGTAGAGGTAGAGGTATAGGGGGGGAGGAGAGAGGCAAGTACTCCAAAGATTATGGGTCAAGGAGTTACAGAGAAGATGAGGATAGTCATAGGCTAGACAAGAGAGATCGGCATGGAAGTGAGAGGTATAGTGATAGAGGGTATGGGTCAAAGGTTAGGGATGATAGGGGGATGGGTGGGGCTAGAGATAAGTACAGAGAGGATAGGGGTGGGGGGATAGCTAGGATGCGGGATAGGGATGACAGACGAGGTGGAGCAGAACGTGATGATCGCCGCAGTGGAGGGGATAGAGAGGACAGGAGGATGGGTTATGGGGAGGATAGACGGGATGGGGGATATAGAGATGATAGGAGAGGCGGAGGTGACAGGGATGACAGAAGAGGAGACAGGAGAGGAGAGAGAGATGATAGGCGCAGGGTAGAGAGTTATCGGGATAGAGAAGATAGAAAAATTGGAGGGGGCGATGGTTGGAAGAAAAAGGATGTAGAAGGTGGGGATAGTTGGAAGAAAAAGGATATAGAAAGTGGGGATGGTTGGAAGAAAAAGGATGTAGAAGGTGGCGATAGTTGGAAGAAAAAGGATATAGAAGGTGGCGATAGTTGGAAGAAAAAGGATATAGAAGGTGGGGATGGTTGGAAGAAAAAGGATGTAGAAGGTGGCGATAGTTGGAAAAAAAAGGATATAGAATTTAAGAAAGCTGAAAAGCCAATAGAAAAAAAATCAGAAACAGTGAAAAGTAAAAGTGGTGAAGAAGGAAAGAAAGAAGGAACTGCTTCGAGGTACACAATTTTTGTTTTTTACAAAATATTTTCTTACTAAAAGTAAACTTTAAAATTTACTTTAAACTTAACTTAATACTGTATGTTTGTTTACAGAATATTTAGTTATGATTTGTTTGTTTCATTAATTAATCTATGATTTGATGTAATTTAAAATAAAGCATGAAAGAAAGTCAAAGTCAGGATTTAACAAAGGAAGACAGAGGGAAGGTAAGCTAAGCCCTACCTGCTGTTTACTTTTCTCAATTGATATCCAGTATCTGTGTTACACCTGGCTATGCACCTAACAAAGGGATTTAAATATTTGAGAATGGATTTTCAAGAAATATTTTCCTTCTTATAAATGTCTTTTTAATATTATTGTTGAAAATGGATACATTTTGTGCAAATCTGGCTTAGTGACACAGATATCGTTTTGTAATTTTGAAGTTCTTTTCATCTCTCTTTCTGGTGTCAGTCTTGTCCAATAGCGATATTTTAGCTGTACAAGTAATAGCTGATGTTTGCTGAAAAACTTTAATTTTAAAACTAAAATTTGGTTCATTTTTAAAATTGGAATTAAGCAAATATGAATCTTCATATTATTTGTTGAGCTACCCTTCCAAAATTAAAAATGTTACATTAAAAAAATGAATAATAGATCTTAAAATCTGCTAGCTTAATATAAAAAAAGTAAAAACCAGAAAAATGCTTTAGGCTTTAATAAAAATAATTAGCAAATTAAAGTTTTAATCAAGTTTCTCTTTTATTTTATTTTCTGGCAACTTTGCTTTTTTTTAAAATTTAATCATTCACTATTTTAACTGGTTTAATTACTGTTTCTAAATTTTATTGTTTTTATTTCACCTTAACTTTTTTATTGTTATACATTTACTTGTTTTTAAATGTGCTATTAGTAATCTCCCTTAGAATGTTTGATGTAAAGTGGCACTATATTTTTATTGTGTTCTTTGTGTTGTCCAACTTCTGTTTGTATAAGGATGAAGAAAAATTGGTGAAAAGTTCAGAATCACCTGACCTGAAGTCCTCCAGGTATAAAGGTGAGGCTGAGAGCCACTCCCAGAGATCTACCCCAGACCCCATGTCTTCAAGCCTGACAAGGGAAGATAATGATGCTAGGGGAGACAACAATGATGGAGATGATAAAAAAAGAAAGAGGAAGGTAAAGAAAATGGACCCTAACCAGCCTGGTTATCAGATTTGCTTATATATCTGCCTGGGAAGTGATTCGCAAACTATGTTTTTCTGCATGGGATCAAAAACAGAGCAGTTCATCATCTGTTTATGATTATTTTTTGAATCCCAAATTTCAGTAGTTTGAGAAACACTTGTGCATTAATTTCTGCTCAGCTTAAGCTCAACCTTGAACCTAACACCTTTTATGACTTCCTGATTTCATTAACTTAATCAGACATCCATGCACCAAAAATAATATTTAAGTATGTTTTATTTCTGCTTTATTGTCAGTATTTAAGACCAACTCACATTTTATTTATGAAATGCTTTTATTTAGCTTGCAGTTATATTTTCTGTGCAATGTATTGGATTCATTAATTTTTATACATGAAATGCAAATAAATTGAAGAAGAAAAATAAATGTGGTACATTTAAGAAAAAAAAGTATACATTTATAAATCGACTAAGGGTTTTTCTTTTAAAAATATATTGTTTGGATAATTTCTTTCATTTTAAAATTATATAAATATGATTTTAGTTTTCATCTAGTTTCAATAGTGTAAACTAATTTTAGTATAGCACTTAATATTTATGTTTATTAATAAATAAACAGCACATTTGATAGTGTTTAAGTCACAAGCTTATTATTATCTATAATACTTCGGCCTCTCTATTCTTTATATATTTTTGGCTTTGTGTGGTACTGTTCTAGCATGGCTGTAGTTTATTATTTGAAATGTTATGCATCTTGTTTTTTGTTTTTGCTCTTTGAAATTGCATGGATGAGTAACTGAAGGCTCTACATTAAATTTTTTATTGCAGATGCTCTAATTACCTCTCATAATAATTAACATAACCTTGATCATGATAGCTAGAAGATTAAAGAAATCATCTTTAGTTATAGTTAGGGTATGCCGTCATTGTACAAGTAGGTGTATAGTTTTTAACTGCTGATTCTTTAAGTGAACAGTTTCAATGGGAATTTCAATTTAGTTTTATCTTCTACACCTGCCTCTACATTATTTTTTTTTTACCTTTGCTTGAATTTTATGACTGCTTTGATTTTCATTCAGTATTTTTCAACTTATTTCAAGTGATTATAAATGTAGATAAGCAATGAAGGAATGATCAGTTGTTGCCTGGTGTTTATGACAGAAGTGTTGACTGAGGAACAGCACTATAAAATGGCCGTTACTGCATTTGCCCCATTCTCTTATTTTATCAGTTCATCTAAACAAACAGGATTAAATTATGAGAATCATGTAACTTTATGTAAAATTGAGCTAACGACTGTGTGCTAGGTCTGAAATAGGTTTCTCAATGCAGTTGTATTTCTGCTAGAGGACCAGAGGTTTTTTTAGTATTCAAAACATCACTTGAGCTTTTAGATGGTCATTTCTTTCATTTCATTTAATTTCCCTTAACATTAGCACGTTTTATTATAGATGATTTCCCTTTAAATTAGTAATGTTATTATAGATATGTCCCTTTAAATTAACTAATGTTCTTATAGATTGTGTCCCTTAAATTATTCACCCTTGTGTGAGATTTATTTTTACAATTTTCTTTTTTTCAGCTCTTAATTTTTCTTACATTTTATAGAATTGTTCAAATAATTTCCTACTTTTGCTTTAAAACTAATATTTACAATATTTGTTTTTCTACTGATAGGATCGACCAGAGAGACAGATTTACATTCCTAGAAAAGCTTTAGAGAAGCAAAGACAGTCATCCCCACAAACTGGCGAGTCTAGTCGGGATAAACCAAACAGCTGAGGTGGTAGATGAATACATGAGATCCAAGTTTTTAACACACTCAGCAAGTTTAGGACAATGTTAAGCCCAGCTTCCTGTTGTTTCAGTGTTATTATTTTCTTCAATGTGAGGCCTGGAACTTTTAACTGATTTGAGTTAAAGTTGAGTTTTAAATAATTTAAGAGCAAAATGTGTTGTCAAATATGGCTTAAAAATTATTATTTTTAATTGTGTGTTGTTCCCCATCCTTCTTTGATGCAGTTTTATGCATGAAAATACTTTCCATCTGAAAATTTTTGAATTTAGCAAAATTCTAAATCTAAATCATGGATCTGTAATACTTTAGCCTGATGTGTGGTTGTGTTGGCTGATGTGATGGCAGAAAAAAAATATCTTACTTAAGCCTGATGTAAATTACAGATGCCTGTATTGACAAAGATTTAAATAAACTTGTTTTCTTTTAATGCTAAAAATATTGTACAGGATTTTATTCTTGATTTAATTGATCATTCTGTGCATTATGAAAAATAAAACAACAAAATATAATGTTTGGTGAATATTTAATTGTCTTTCTCAATAATATGACTCAAGAGAATGGTTTCCCTCATAGTTTCACAGACAAGTAACATGTTGCATGTATATATCTTTTTTTTTTTAATTCAGTTATTGACTAAATTTCATCAACATTTTCATGATAAATAAAGCTGTAATAAAAAGAATCCATAATAATATTCCTTTCATTAAAAAATTACTAAATTTTTTGCAAAATAAACAAAATCAGGCCTACATACAAAAAAAAATGTAAACTTCACATTTTTTGTAAATGACATGTTAAATAAACTAATTGCTATGAAAACTTTTAATTAATGTATTCTATGTCTAAAATAATTTAAAAAAAAATGTCTACCCAACTTTCAAGTACTAATCAATTACATGTGACTTTGTTTATAAAAAACAAACTTTATTATAAGTAGATTTACTAAAGCCAGACAATCACATATTATTACATATGATGTACTTGTTTAGTCCTAACATGCAGAACCAGCATTATAAAACAACCAAGACAGATGGCTTCTTCAGTCTCTGACTGGCAATCATGAGATTCTCTCCCTACTAAATACAACAATAAACTACAAGTTGATTCTAGTAGCAAAGTATATCTAAATGTTAAGGGCAGTTCTTGTCTAAAAGCAAAAGATATCTGAATAAAAAGACATCTGGATAAATTCTAAAGTTATGGATGTGAGGAAGAGAAAATGTTGCCATGCTACAATTAGTCACTCACTGGGATAATTACAAAAGGAAGTAATGAAGGAAGTGGAAGTCTTTTTCTTAAAAGGTTAGAAAAAAAATATAAAGAGGCAGTAACATGGTTAAATTTAGGAAAAAAACTTTAAAAATTAAACTGTAATTTAAGCATAAAATACAGCTTTTGGTATCACACAACTGGCACACTTTGTCATAAAAGTAAGCACACATATCACAGTTCTTTGATTACTTCACAACAAAATTAAAATACAAACTCTCTTGTAATTAACTGAATTATTGAAGACCACAACAAAATTAAAATACAAACTATTTTGTAATTAACTGAATTATTGAAAACCAAATTTTATTAGCATATTTAAATTTCTGAAATTAATTGTAATAATATTACAAATCTTTAAGAGTACCTAGTGTGCATTCTATATCACCAGTATCTTTTATTGTATAAAGAAAGACACTTTTGTAAGACATCTCTTCAGCAAACACAATTGTCTTGCTTACACTAAAGTATTAAGTGAAATAGTTATGAAATTAAATGCAGCAGATTTTATATTAATTTGAAGTGGGTGAAGAAAACAAATGATTTCAAAAAGATGGTAATTTCTTGGCAAGAATTAGAGGAATTTTAGGAGTATGATATTTTGATTTACTAATTTTTCTACACTTTTGTTGGTATAAAAATTTTTTTAGAAAGCAATGTTTACTTTATAAATAGTTGGAGTATATCTGTATTCAAAAAGAAATATTTCTGTTCACATAAAATAGATAAAGACTCTGATGAAGAAAAGTTATAAATAAATTAATGGTCAAAAACTTGAACCCATTAAAAAATTGGAATGTCAACAAAAAAATAAATAAAACTTGTCAAATCTGTTATGTACAATGATATTTACATATATGCATTGAAGTCATAGAAAAATCCTTTTCTAATAGTCTTAGTACAATACTGAAAATGACATTAATTGTTGCAAACATGAAATAAAGTCTTAATATTCTTTTATAGCCTTTACTAAGCTAATGTGAATATTGTTCTCACAACCTGAATATATAATGGAACTGCTTGTTAAAAAATACAAAGAAAGCCAAAGGAACATCAACAAAAAATGTTCAGCTAGTTTGGAGTATTGATCAGTAGAAAAAAATGGTTGTCTTAACTTTGAACCATTATTTTTAAATTATTTAAAATCAAGTTCTTTCATAATATTTGTAGCTTAATTCATAACATTAGATACTAACTTTAATCAACACTTGGAAAGAGGAGCCTATTTATACTAGTATTTATTTAGAATTTTTCTTCATTAAACACAACCTTTTGTGTGTAAATCTAAAATAATTGCAGAGTTTCTAACTAACCTATGTATTAAGTCAACAACATAGCTAGAAAATTGGTCTATCTAGTGATACAATTTGTGGCACAAACTGTATAATTTATTAATTAACATTTTCAAATTATTAATTAGTTTAGTATTCATAACTTTATTGAAAAACTAAAGGATAAAATAGCTTAAGTTTTGACATAGCAGCTTATTTAGAGCTGTGAAGATCCACATTGGCCCCACATCACATGAAATCAAATCAGGCTGTACATTTTAAAATGGTTCCACATTGGCCCACATCACATGAAATCAAATCAGACTGTACATTTTAAAATGGTTCCATAAATGGTTTTTCAGGCAGGCAACAATCAGCATAAAGTCTTAGCATGGCATTAAACAAATACAAAAATATGCCCCAACATTTAAGCCTCAGACAATGCTTGTTTACTTCTTATGACTTGACACACATTTGACACAAACAGAAGTTAAATATTTACTCTCTCTAGCTAAGTATGGCAGAATAAGTATATTGCACTGTATTTCTTGAATCAATTCAGACTCCTTTCATAACAAAATAAATTAAACAGTTTCAAAGCTGTTTTTTCATACGGTTGTTTCTGGAACAGGGCTGTTGTTGCGGAAGTAAGGACTGGATGACCTACTTCGGATCATTTCGCTTCTTGCACCAGCCACACACAGAGAATCTGAGAAGATATCACACACAATTATTTCAATAGGCAAAAATATCTTTATCTATATCAAAGGTTAAGTACACAAAAAGAAATTACATTTTTTTGTTGGTTAAAAGGATAAACAGAATTTGTTAAGAAACATCTTTGGAGATAAGGCACTTTATTTCATAGTTAATAGGTTAAATCAATTAGAACTTTTTTGTCAAACCTAATATGGTTAACTCTGTCACTATGTAAGTGCAACAGTTAATGTAAATCTTGTAGCAAGAGTGTATGTATAAGTGGTAGCAAGAGTGTATGTATATGTGGTAGAAAGAGTGTATGTATATGTGGTAGCAAGAGTTAATGTATATCTTGTAGCTAGAATGTATGTATATGTGGTAGCAACAGTGTATGCATATGTAGTAGCAAGAGTATGTATATGTTGTAGCAAGAGTGTATGTATATGCAATGTTCCCTCTAAGGGGAAAAGTTCATGTGCAACGTGTATTTTGTGTGCGTGGCATTCTAAAAGTCTTATAAAATAATAGATGTATTTTACAAAATGACTGCAAGGCAGTTGAAAATTACTGTGCAGATGCGCAACCACGCAGCTTAGAGGGAACATAGTGGATATGTTGTAGCAAGAGTTAATGTATATCTTGTAGCAAGAGTGTATGTATATGTGGTAGCAATATGCCAAAACGTGAGTCTGTGACTCTATCATCAAGATTTTGTATAGCTATAACAATTATATACGTATAGGGAGATTTGTTCTAGCCAAGCATTTTTCTGTTACAACAATATTAATTTTTTCACCAAGCGAATGTATTGCTCAAACTATAAAGTTTTGATTCTTTCAATGACTATCTGTGGTTTACTTTGGTGTGTAAATGTATTTAATATATTAAAAAATGTTAAAATACTGTAGCTGTATAGATTAAAATTGAACTAAAAATATTTTGAATGACAGCAATCTATGTTAAATAAAAACATGTTAGTACCTGAGGATACATATGTGTACATACATATTAAACAGCATGCATATTTTTAGTACAAAATATATGGTTGTTTTATTACAACACATTTCATGCGATGAAGAACAAAATAAAACATACTAATATTTATATATGCAAGCACAAAGATAAATACAAATGATAAACAAATGAAATTAGATGACAGTACTTAAAATGGGTTTTTTTAATCTCAATTGTGGGATGGCTATTGGTTTATATTCACAAAAGAAAAATTAATTGTTTAGGTAGAGAAATTACTGTCCCAGTTAATAATTAATGTATTTTTAAGTGAAGGAAAATGACACATACAATATGCTTTTTTTGTTCACAAAATGTTAAAATCTTTTACGCCACCTTTAAGTTCATTTTCGGGAGAAATTTGCTATGCAATGGTGAGATTTAATATACATTTTGTTTTGCCACCTTTAAATTCATAGTTTAGGGAAGGCTATTAATATGGAGTTTTTTGTCTTGTAAACTACTCAGAATGTATTTCCTAAAGGTTGCACTTTATGCATATATATATATATATATATATATATATATATATATATATATATATATATATATATATATATATATATATATATATATATATATATATATATATATATATATATATATATATATATATATATATATATATATATATATATATATATATATATATATATATATATATATATATATATATATATATATATATATATATATATATATATATATATATATATATATATATATATATATATATATATATATATATATATATATATATATATATATATATATATATATATATATATATATATATATATATATATATATATATATATATATATATATATATATATATATATATATATATATATATATATATATATATATATATATATATATATATATATATATATATATATATATATATATATATATATATATATATATATATATATATATATATATATATATATATATATATATATATATATATATATATATATATATATATATATATATATATATATATATATATATATATATATATATATATATATATATATATATATATATATATATATATATATATATATATATATATATATATATATATATATATATATATATATATATATATATATATATATATATATATATATATATATTGTAGTTGCAGTTATTGTTGTTTTTCACTAAATGAAGAAGCCATTACTGGTTAGCATAAAGCATCAAAACACTATTGGAGATAAGAACCAATGTCTTGTTACTATTCAAATATTTTTTTTACAAGTTCCTGAAGTTAAAAAGTTGATGTAAATAATTTTCTTGTGGTGAAAAACATTAGTTTTCATAAATTTAAAAATGAGCTGTTTTCACAGAGGAATTTTTTTTTAAATGGATTACCCTGTAAGTGTTAGTTAATTTCAACAGGTTGCAACATTATCATTAAGTAATTAGTGCACCTAGTCTTAGGGTTAGTTTAATAGAATGTTAGTAATGAAAATATGGTCTGGACTTTTTAAACACGTATAACAAATTGTAAATGCTTAAAAATAAAGGCTTTTAGAGAGAAGATATTTTGTGTGAAAAGACACACGTTAAATAAATTGTGGAAATTTTTACACTTAATGACTATAAATAGTTGACACAATTGTTTAACTGGCATAAATATTATACATGTTTAGTCCAGGCCACAAAAGTTGTCTAAACAAGCAATGGTTAGCTGAGTTGAAGCTCTTGCTATACTCACACTTTTAAGGTTAAATTTTGACACCTAAATAAGGGTGGATCGAGACAATATTATGACAGCATTGGTGAATAAGGCAGCAGGTGAGGGATTTGTTGAGGAGATAATTAATGTGGCTTCATCAACAAAAATATAATGAAACATGCTGGTTTTATTTATAGTTGTGAAACATGAGTTGGTGTTTGAGGCTGGGTTTAAGGTTTATACACTAAACTATTTTATAAGTTTTATTTTAATTTATATATTTATGTATTAAATGAAGAACAACACATGGTTGGTTAATTAGTATTTTTGCATACATGTCCTCATCAGCTTAGGTAAAGATAACGAGCATTTTAAAAAAATTGTTTTCAAGATAGGCCAATAACAATTTAAATTACAAAATATTTATCAAAAAAAGAATTTCTACAAAAAAATCGGGGGTACATTAAAATGCAAAAGAAAAATCCATTTAAAAAAAAAGAAAAAACATCTATAAGAAATACAGTTACTATTTTTAAAAAAAAAATTTTTTGGAATTGAAAAATTAAAAAACAAATGAAGACAGCTTAAATATTTTATAATAAATAATCAAACAATTCAAAACTTTCTAGACTAGCATTGCTTACCTGAACTGGAATACAAGGTGTTTCCTCTAGATACAGGCTCAAGGTACGTCGATGGCACCCAACCTTCTTGGTTGGTCCTTAAATGGCGAGCATACCACCAGCCATTGGTCCCCGTCCTCATCACCTCCACCTCATCCCCCTCCTGTAGGCCTAGCTCTGTGGGGTCAATCACTGAGTACTCCCCAAGTGAAATAAAGTGTTCTTTGTACGAGGGCTGCAACATAAAAATCTGGGCTCATTTTGTGACTGGACAGAGTTAGCGTACCTGCCTTAAACACTGACATTAAATCAACAGTAATACACTGAGAGTATTTAATTAACTGTCTTAAAATTAACTGTCTTATACATAGAGAGTATAAAAGTAAATGTTACACACTGACAGTATTTTAGTAATTGTGTAGTATTTAAATAAATAACACGATAAAATAAAAATGTATTAAAAAATGTATGTATAGTTGTAAATTAGTTTCAATAAAAATAGGTTTTAGCATGGACTTGAATTATTGTAGCTCAGTATACAGCTAAAACTGTTTAGCACAATATTTCTAATGTATCTTTGAAATTCTGACAGTATTTCACACAACTCACTTCAATTTTTGGAATGTACTGCGGCGTTGTCTCGTCGTCTGTGTTGGAGAACTCACTAGATGACCAGCCGCGGTCAAACTCTTCCTCATAGTCTTCCTCGTCCTCCTGCCTGTCTGTGAGGTAGGGAGGGGAGGCAGGGGAACACATCTCAAGACCTATGGGCACTGTTGAATGTTTCTCAGAGTCTGAGGACCTCCAGTTGTCTAAGCTGTAAACATGGGGTGTAGAAAATAGCAGTAAAAAAATGTTGCTATAAATAAACTTTGTTATAAATAGAATACTGAGCTGAGTTGAATTCTAATAGAGCACATGATTGGTTTAAAAGTGTTGACAAATGATGGGAAGCTCAGCACATTAAAAAGTAATACTTGAAATGCTGTGATTAAAAATTAGACAGGTCAATATTTATTAACCTATGTTAAATCATATTGAGACACATATATAGGCCTAAAGCTTCATCAATTTATTTTAATCAGTTTCAGTTCTTGTGTCATTGATACATGTGTTTTGAAATTGCAAACAATGTCTCTTGAAAGTCTACATACAGTAATGACAAAATTAGTTAGTGTCGCCTTGTGTTACCTGTAATCAGAAGAATCACTGGACAGTTGAGGTGTGATGTCAGTCAGTATATTCTGGGATCCCATTTTTCTGTTTGCTGTACATAAGGGGGGGGGAGACAATTTTAAAATTAGGTGGGTAGTTCTCAAACAAAAAAAACAGAAATAATTTTACAACTAAATTTACTGTATTAATTATGATGATCCTGACTCACTTGTTTTAGTTGGAAAATAAATATTACAATAAAATAGAAATTTTAGATGTACAGACAGTAAAATAGAAATGTTCAGATGTACAGACAATAAAATAGAAATGTTCAGATGTACAAAAAACAAATCTGACAGTAAAATAGAAATGTTCAGATGTACAGACAATAAAATAGAAATGTTCAGATGTACAAAAAACAAATCTGACAGTAAAATAGATATGTTCAGATGTACAGACAGTAAAATAGAAATGTTCAGATGTACAGACAATAAAATAGAAATGTTCAGGTGTACAAAAAACAAATCTGACAGTAAAATTGAAATGTTCAGATGTACAGACAGTAAAATAGAAATGTTCAGATGCACAAAAAACTAATCTGTCAGTAAAATAGAAATGTTCAGATGTACAGACAATAAAATAGAAATGTTCAGATGTACAAAAAACAAATCTGACAGTAAAATAGAAATGTTCAGATGTACAGACAGTAAAATAGAAATGTTCAGATGTACAGACAGTAAAATAGAAATGTTCAGATGTACAAAATACCTTTGAGGTGGTCAAACTGTGTCATTAGAACTTTTTTTATTTCCTTGACCCAGACATCTTTGGTCTGCAAATCAGGAGCCTATAAAAATAAAAAAATCATACATGAATTTAAAAAATTAAAAATATAAAAATAATGCAGATAGGATACAAGATTTAAAAAAAAAAAAACTATAGATTATTAAGATAACTCAACTTTTTCTTCCTTTAAAAAAAACAACAAAAAGTTCCCTATAATTGCATCTATAATGAACAGATTGTTTAAAGAATGAAATAAAGACCTGAATGATGTAGACTTCCTCCCTGCCACGTAACCAAAGTTCAAACTTCCGCTTATCTCCCTTGATTTTTTCAGTCAGACCCACTTGTGAAAGCTGTTCAAAGAATAGATTAATAGAACTAGATTAGAAAAACAAACTATCAAAGTGAATACCAAAGAATAGATTAATAGAGCTAGATTAGAAAAACAAACTATCAAAGTTTAACTGATTTACTCAGCAGAATCAAAATGAATTTTGAAATTCTGCAGCAGTAAAAAAAAAATCTCAAAACTTATCTCTTTAAGAAGGTACATTCTAATCAAATAATGACCTCACTTTATTACTTTTGAAATAGAACAGTTTATTAGAATTCTTCCATTAATATCAATAATAATTTGTGCTTTAGGATTTAAATAAAAGTTTTGAACATAAAACAACAATAACAGGATAAAAATGCTTAGTTTATATTATTAGATTAAAACTGAAAAGAAAGGCATCCTTACATTTAGTTTATTTTTAAATGTATAAGATGGCTGATCATTGTTGCCATGGTGCTCATCTTTCTTTTTGCACAAAAGTAGAGCTCTTTGGTATAGGAAAACATGGCGTTGCATTGGCCTCAATCGTATGTCTCGTATCCTCTCATGTTTGTGCTCAGTCCACACTCTGAATGACCCGTGCATCAGTAATCTGCCTAAATCTGAAATATTCTCCTAGAAAAAAAGACATTTGCTTAGTATGTTTGTCTTGTGTTGTGTTATGAGTTATTTAATTAATATTTATAAATTTGTTTCTTTAAGCTAGTCTGGTAATGGTTTGTGTTTTCTATCAATTATTAACAACACACATTTTAAAATTATTTTGTTCTCTTACCCCATAACCAATGATAGCCACTTGATGCATGCTGTCATTGAGATAGGCCAGCACAGATAACATTGTATCTAAAGCTTCCTTTAAGGCAGACACTAATTCAGGACTTTCACCATTGAATCTAAGCATTTCCTACAAAGAACAAGGATTTGATATTAAAGTTCTTATTGAAGTAACATTCATTTTATTAATTTGTACCATTGCTCTTTTCTGTTCAGTAAATACATTTTTTATAACTATATTAGATGATAAAAGGCTTACTTGGATTTAATTTAATTAAACAAAACCAAGTTTTAATGGTGACCTACTTTCAGCAGCAGTTGGTATTTAGTAATTCTCTGGATAGGTTTGAGCAGATAAGCTCCCAGTGGTAGTCTGTGGCCTAGTTGTCTCTGACACTCCTAGACAGATATTACAGAGATTTTTATAAGATAGTACAGTACATCTCTGAGTCATTTTAAATGTTATCTGTATGATCTTAAGTAGAAAACTAAAATGAAACTAAACACAATTGAGGTAACCCCTTAGATTATTAAAGACTGCATTAAAATCAGTTCAATTATAAAGACAGCAGTTTTAAGAATTGACTCACTTTAAAGAATGGGTTACTGTCACCTACAGTTACACGAAGAGCTTCAGATTTTGGTTTGTTTTGGCAGTAAATGCTATACATTTGGAACTCTTCTTTCTGAAACATTAGAAAGTAATGAAAAAAATATTAGTTGCCATGAATAGAAAATGTTTTGATTCCATAAGCCTGGATAGTTTTTTATCTGCTTTAATACAATAAAAAAACAAATTCTAGAATAAATAACTTTATTTCAATTTTTAACTAAACTAAAACAACTTTTTTAACATCAGTAAATCAGTGTTTAAAATAAATGAACATTTAATATATAATAATGCTGGTACTAACCCTATTCACAAAACACTTCCCAACAAGTGAGGGACAATCATGACATGCTTTCAACTCATGCAGAAAAGTGCTGGAAAAAAAGTACTAAAATTAATAACTTTTTGTTTTGTGATGATTAACAACAAAAATACTTTTTTAAAACACCTATATTTTAATTAATAAAATAAGGGTTTAAATTATCATATTTCAAGCTAATGAACACGTACTCTTTATGAAAGTTGTATATCTGTTGGAGATTTCCAAATAAAATATTTCTTTGGCCCAGGAGAGCCGGAGGGATCATCATCTGGAGAGACCTATCCTCCATCTTGTTGTAGTATCCCTAGTCAGAGGAAAACAACTTGACATAAGACACATATAAGAGAGAAAACAACTTGACATAAGACATATGAGAGAGAAAACAAATTGACATAAGACATATATGAGAGAGAAAACAACTTGACATAAGACATATATGAGAGAGAAAACAACTTGACATAAGACATATGAGAGAGAAAACAACTTGACATAAGACATATATGAGAGAGAAAACAACTTGACATAAGACATATATGAGAGAGAAAACAACTTGACATAAGACATATGAGAGAGAAAACAACTTGACATAAGACATATATGAGAGAGAAAACAACTTGACATAAAACATATATGAGAGAGAAAACAACTTGACATAAGACATATGAGAGAGAAAACAAATTGACATAAGACATATATGAGAGAGAAAACAACTTGACATAAGACATATGAGAGAGAAAACAACTTGACATAAGACATATATGAGAGAGAAAACAACTTGACATAAGACATATATGAGAGAGAAAACAACTTGACATAAGACATATGAGAGAGAAAACAACTTGACATAAGACATATATGAGAGAGAAAACAACTTGACATAAGACATATATGAGAGAGAAAACAACTTGACATAAGACATATGAGAGAGAAAACAACTTGACATAAGACATATATGAGAGAGAAAACAACTTGACATAAAACATATATGAGAGAGAAAACAACTTGACATAAGACATATGAGAGAGAAAACAAATTGACATAAGACATATATGAGAGAGAAAACAACTTGACATAAGACATATGAGAGAGAAAACAACTTGACATAAGACATATATGAGAGAGAAAACAACTTGACATAAGACATATATGAGAGAGAAAACAACTTGACATAAGACATATGAGAGAGAAAACAACTTGACATAAGACATATATGAGAGAGAAAACAACTTGACATAAGACATATGAGAGAGAAAACAACTTGACATAAGACATATGAGAGAGAAAACAACTTGACATAAGACACATATGAGAGAGAAAACAAATTGACATAAGACATATATGAGAAAGAAAACAACTTGACATAAGGCATATATGAGAGAGAAAACTACTTGACTTAGACATAAATGACAGATAAAAATAATTAATTTTGACCAATGAATTTTACCTGCAGTATTTGATTGAGCTCATTCACATAAGCTTCCTCTGTTTCAATAAGTTCATTCATGACATGCCTGTAAGAGTTAAATGTAGTGTTTATATGATAGGGAGAGAAATCTTAATCTAGCAAGAACTTACCTTTCTAAAATGTATGATAAATCTCAATTCAAATTTATGCATTTTTAAATAACAAAAACAAACTACATTTAAATTAAAATAATTAAAAGGATATTTATACAACAAACTTGAATATACATTTCTAAACAATGCTTATATTATCACATCATTTACTACTAATTGATTCAAAGAATTAGACTTACGTTCTTTTAGACTGCAAGCCTTCTGTGTCTGGGAATGAGGACATGGAAGCAGATGAGAGGGAGCTGATGTGTGTGTCTGTGGTTGATGATGAGGAAACATTGGAAGCGGATCTTGTTACCATCCCACCAGCTGTGAAAGAGAAATCACTAGCATTGCTTACCCCCCTTGTGGCGGGGTGTAAGGTTGGTGCGTCTGGTCGATACTGCGAAAATAAAAAGTTGAATTTATGTTCAAATGTGGATGATTGTATTTTAAAATTTAAACATATTTTATAATAAATTCAATATAAGCAAATTTAGAAATTATAATTGAATCTGTAGAGAATTCATTTTATACAGAATAAAGGAATTCTTTATTTCTGATTTATTATATAATTTATTTACTTAAAAATGGACAATATACATTTTGCTTAAAATAAGCTTAAAAACCAGACAATATATTCACAGAAACCCGCTATGGTTGATAATGACAACAGAATATTGTATCTGTTGTCTTGCTCACTTGGATGAAAAAAGAAACGTACCCGGACACTTTTGTCTAAAGAAACCACAGGTTTCTTGCCGTCTGACGCCGTTCTCTGGTGGCCGATGTTGTTAGAGTCCACGTGGTCAGTGGGTGGCTTTAAGGTTTGATTCTCTCTGGTTTCTCTTTGTGGGTGGCCGGGCATGGGGTGGGGCTCTGGGTTGACCTGCTGAACTGGCCGGGGTCGAGGGTCAATAAAATGCCGCAGGCTGTCTTTTCTCTTCTCACACATGCCCTGAACGTCCTCCATCCGTTTGAGAATTTGTTGAACTGTTGCCTGAATTGAGAGTGGGTCCTATATTTAATTGTTTTGTAATAAATCCTTTCCAAATTTCTATAAGTAAAGTTAAAACATTTTTGACTACAGATTGTTCAAGGATCATCACTAAGCATGAGGACATTATTTTAAACATAGTCAGAAATGCTTTAATTATTTTTGAGTAATTATAGTTTAATTTTAGATAACATTATTGAAAAAAAAATTAATACTATAATTAGGCTCTGTTTAAATACATTTTTCCTATCCAATGTTAATGAAATCTGAATAAATGTTTGCTACTTTAATAACCTATTGTAAGAGTTGCTTTTTTAATACAGAAAAAAAGATACTTTTATTTATAGAAAGGCTAAAGATAACATGCTTTGGTGGATAAAGTGTTGTATACTTATATGAGAGCTCTTAGTTGTCAGATGGTTGAATGGTATAGATGTGTACACACTAGTTTATTGCTTGTTCAAATGTGTACACAATAGTTTATTGCTTGTGGTTTTTTTTTATCTAGACATTAATTTATGACGTGCTGACAAAGTTTAACTGAAAATCATTCTTGCCGTAAAGTGATGTGAGTCTCATGAGTTACCTACCCTTGTCTCATGAGTTACCTACCTTTGTTTCCTGAGTTACCTACCCTTTTCTTCTCTCCTAAGTAACTTACTTTTGTCTAATGAGTTACCTACCCTTGTGTCATGAGTTACCTACCCTTGTCTAATGAGTTACCTACCCTTGTCTAATGAGTTACCTACCCTTGTCTAATGAGTTACCTACCCTTGTCTAATAAGTTACTTACCCTTGTCTCATTAGTCATCATGGACTCAAACAGCTGTCTGAACTCCTTAGGGTTGTTGAGCTTCAGTTCCCTGGAGGTCCGCAAGAATTTTTCTATCTCCAGCAGGGCTGATTGTGCCCCTTGTTGTGTCTGTAGTTTGTCTACGGCTTGACCGGCCAGAAGATCCACACCATTGGAACACCATTTGTTGGCCTGGAGACATACAGCATTGAAACACACCATTAGAACACATGAGATGACACCATGAGAACACCATTTGTTAGCCTGGATAAAGGACACACACCATTGAAACACAACATTGTAATTTGTAACGTCTTACTTCACAACATTAGAGCACTACTTTTTAGTCTGGATAAAGGACACACCATTAGAACACCATTTGATCAATACAACACACCATTACGCATGATTTGTTGGACTGAATTACAAATCCCATTTTGTACTTTTAACATAACACAATGAGGCACCAAGGATGTTAATAAATAAACTGATTTATGATTTTCTCACATCAATCAATTTATTTGCGATGTTCTCACATCAATAAACTGATGTGTGATGTTTTCACATCAATAAACTGATGTGTGATGTTTTCACATCAATAAACTGATGTGTGATGTTCTCACATCAATAAACTGGTGTGTGATGTTCTGACATCATTCAACTGATGTGTGATGCTCCCTAATCAATTGACTGAAGTGTGATGTTCTCACATCAACTGATTAATGTGTGATGTTCCAACAGCAATGGACTCACCCTGTCCAGTCTATCCTGCAAGTCATGTGACTTGGTCAGCATCTCGCGCCGTTTCCTGAGCAGCTCCTTGTACTGCTCACACATGCGCTGTAGCTCCACACATTTGGGCCGGATGGAATCCACTGCGTAGTGCTCGTCCATCATTAGCTGCTCACCCCTGGCTCTCATTCTGTCCGTCTGGTCAAGATCTTTCTGAAATACAACAAGATCATCTTTAGATATAGATCTGGACTATGTCAAGATCTTTCTGAAATACAACAAGATCATCTTTAGATGTAAATTTGGGCTTATGTCAAGATCTTTCTGCACTGCAGATGTAAATCTTCGGGTAGTTCAAGATGTTTTTTGCAATAGATAAAAAATGAGGGAGTTTATTTAAGAACGGTTTTTTTAGAATAAAAAAGAAAACAATCTTCCTTATGGGTGAAAATGTATGTGATTAAATTACATCATTTAAGGATATGCATTTTTAGAAAATCTTTTTTGTATGCCACTAACACTAAATGACTTCGATTAAAATAGACGACACAAAATTTTTCATGTTTATTTATTTATACACAGTGTTTCTTCCAGACTTTTTTCTCCGGGGGGGGGGGGGGAATCACTTGAAAATTTTCGGGGAGGGGGACGGACTAAAATTTTCGAGGGGGGGGGGGGCGGTCACTGTTAAAAGTATATATTTTCTATATAAATTCCAATTCGTTCGGGGGTGGGGGGCGGTGGACTTTCTTCGGGGGGGGGGGGGGGGGCTCCCCGATGAGATGCCTGGAAGAAACTTTGATTATACGCCGATCTAAAAGGGCGTAAAAATAACGTCGAATCATCCATTAGAATCATGGACCTACATGACAATAAATTCGTTTATTAATATCGTTATTAAAACAAATTCTGCTCAAATTTAAGTCATGCCGCATTCATTACAGTTCACGTCTGTATAGTGTTATAAACGAACTACGCCCACAGTTACTGCGCAGTTTTCATTGTTCAAACATGTCTACGCGAGAGTGGTCGCCCCAAGTCTGCTGTTCTATTTGGCGAGAGTTATCTGCCCTTGACTGTTGAGTCATCAGTAGCCGAAAGTGTCTAAAGCTGGACAAGTCAACTCATTTTCTCACAGTTGGTCCATGGTCAATATTTTATGACGTGGTTATTCTTAAGTTGAGCCTTGACCTTGAAGAATGCATCTTTTCTCTCAGTCGAAAGGCGACACAGAGATATTCCAAAACCCACGAAGACATTGTTCAAACAATATTTTAAAACTAAAAGCCACGAAACTTAACATCAACAATAATAAAAAAAGAAATAAAAAATAAAGCGGTTAAGTAAGAGACGAAAAATATAGAAATAAAACATTTAAAACAATGCATGGTACACTAGTCAAAGGAATTAGCGACATTTTTTTTCCTTGAAGATTTATAGACTTATCCTTATGAAGTTAACAGACCTACTACAGCTACTAACTTTTGCGATAGAGAGACAATTTTCAGGTGAGTCTAAAGCAGAAATAGACGTCTACTAACTCATGGTTAGTTCTGGGTAATGTCTAGGGTTAGGTTTAAGTTCGACAGCAAAAGCTTATCGACCAGCGGTAATATTTTCTAGTTCGTGTTTAACAGGGGCGTGTCCAATACCCAATCGGTCCAGTTCTAGTATGTACATGCGTCTTAATATGGTGACGGGACTGGTGAATATTTTGAGCTAAGGATGTCGGAAAAAAATGGCTTGGTATAAAGCCTAGGCTATAATCTTCTTCAGTGGTCGTAGGTCGCCGTGACATCCGCGCGCATCACACCGGCTCACCGCGCATCAACGTGACAGTGTCATTAGATCACGTGACATGTCACCGATGAAAACCATATATCTCACCCTAAACATTTTTGGAGAGGGATTTTTTTTCCCGTGGGGACAGGGTAGGGGGGGGGGGCATCTCACATCACAGAATTTATTATTTTTCAACAAAACTCTTTGAATCATTTGAATTCAAAAATAAAAATAGACGCTTAGAAACTAACCAGACTAAAACCCAAAAGTCACCGTAAAACTTGCCCCACTCCCTACACATTGGCTGAGCGATGTGTTGCGTCATTAGCTGCATGTGTTAGGGAGCTATTCTTGACCAGAGAGCTTAACAAAGTTGACTCTAGCAAGCCTGGAGGGATGGGTACACTTTGACAGCCTATATTCGTTTTAGCCACTCGCTACAAACAAAATGAGGGGAAGGGGGGGGGGTAGATTTTACGCTGTAAAGTACGGTCCAATTTTAACCCAAATAAAACGAGTTCATTGTTAAATGTATTTTATACTTTTAGACCTGCGGTCGTAGAACAGAAAAGTAAAATGTATTTTATGTTTGCGATGTATTGAGATTTCCATGTTTTTATAACATCAAACACGTCGAGGACAAAAGTTTTGAACTTTTAGATTTGGAAGTTGTAACCTGCTCGACAGGCTCGCGGTGTGAATGGTGCGGACACAGGAGTAAATGGGTTTCAGTATTGTCGTTGGCGTCGTAAGTTGTCAACGTGAATTAGTTCTCTGTTAGTTGGGTTCAAATATTTATAAAGGTCAAACATTGATGAGGGCCTAAGATATATTAGGTAGGGTTAAGTATTAATGAGGTGTAGGATAAATTAGGTGGGGCAAAGGATAATGAGGATATATAACGCATTAGGTATGTCTAGAACATTAGGTAAGTCTAGAACACATTAGGTAAGTCTAGAACACATTAGGTAGGTCTAGAACACATTAGGTAGGTCTAGAACACATTAGGTAGGTCTAGAACATATTAGGTAGGTATGCCCAACCTTTGCTAAACAGTACGGTGAGTGTGTGTGTGTGGGGGGGGGGGGGGGGGGGGTGAGCCGTTTACTTAGGTGACAAAAAGTTAATGCTGGGCGTTTGGTGACGTCAGCAATCCCGCCGTGAGTAATCTGTTACATCATCATTTTAGGGTATCAAATTAAGGGGAGGATCAGGAATGGGTGAGGGACTCTAAGGGTGTTTATATATATATATATATATATATATATATATATATATATATATATATATATATATATATATATATATATATATATATATATATATATATGCATATACTTACTTAACACATTTGCTACCTAAAGTGGTGGGTGGAGAATATTTCCATTGCTCCATTACAAAAGCTGTGCCTATGTTTAACACTTACATTTGTATGTAACTGTTCCAGCAAAATAAAAAGTTTAAGCACCATCAAATCGTATCTTACCTCATGACCAGCGGAGTTTCAAACTGATGACATCTAAACGTCCCACTAGATTGAATTTTATCCAAAGTTTTATGATCCAAATTGTGTTAAAACACTAGATTGAATTTTATCCAACGTTTTATGATCCAAATTGTTTTAACAAAACAATATACTCAAATTTGATTGATTCTATCCAAAGTTTTATGATCCAATTTGTTTTAAAACAATCTCATATATCCATAATCCCAATGATAGAGATGGTTTTGTGTATGATGTCTTGATGGAAATGATTATTGCGAAAATTCATCAGTTAAAAATCGAATCCAAAATCTTGAAACAATTTATCAAAGAGAATTCATCAAAGGGAGGTTAGTGATTCAGTGATTAAACAATATATCTCACGAAGTCAGTACACAGATTATCTTCTAAAACAAAATGATGTAAGCACATGTAAGCACTTTACAATCTTACAGAAAGTACAAAAGTTAAAGATCTTCTACCAACGAACACTGCACCACATATAAGCTGTTGAGAAAGTACAAAGTAGCGCCGAGATGATGGAAGCCTAACATGCGTGCTAGCCACACCACTAAGAACCTGTGCCTCTATAAAGAGATTTGGCCATCAAGACAGTATTAGTATTAAGGAAAGATAAGGACTAAATAAATAAATTCCACACGATCTGATGACGTCATTTAGAACACAAGTCTACGAGCTATAGATTTAATCAATTATGCTAAATAGTCTAACTGGTTGTTGTGAAGCGAAACTGGTCTGACCAAGACTACATAACCATTTTAAAAAATAGTCCCTTTTATCGTTCGTTAGAGTGTAGTTTATTTTTTTTTTACTGCTAGCTGGGATAGTGTTGCAATTTAAAAAAATGAAATTTATTGATTTGGTTTGATGGAAAGGGTTTACTTAACATTAACATCAAATTTTATGACCGACCATAAGGGAGGGGGGGGGGCGGAGGGTGAGCGATCAATAGACATCGGATGAGCACATATACACGTGTGTTACATGGTTGGGTGAACCAATAGTGCCAGATGAGCACATATATACGTGTGTTACATGGTTGGCTGAATCAACAGTGACAGATGAGCACATATATACGTGTGTTATACAGTGGACTGACTGAACCAACAGTGACAGATGAGCACATATACACGTGTGTTACACAATTGACTGAACCAACAGTGCCAGATGAGCACATATACACGTGTGTTATACAGTGGACTGACTGAACCAACAGTAACAAATAACATGAGCAGTCGTATGACGTAGAGTCAACGTGTTTTTGAGGGAGTCGTGGTTCGGGTCAAGGCTAAATCTATAGAGGTTAAGTACAGGAAGATATTTGAAAGTTACATGGTGTCCCGTTTTTTAAAGATATATCATTTGGTTAAAGGTTAATTGGACCCTGCTTGGTAAATATAATATGGGCTTGTTCTGTTGTGAGTTAATGAGCTATGAAGCTAAATGAGCTAGGTTGTTAAATGTTAAGTGGTCATGTTTTCTTAAAGGTCGAGGACGGATAAGAAATCGTCTGCCGCTATAGAGCTCGTCTGCTCCCACAGACAGGCTCTGGGTCAAGTTACAGGCGACAAGGCCACGGGCAGTCCCGACCCGACCTACGAATTTCTGAACAACCGTCGTTTTTTGTATTATATACACCAGTCATGTGTGGCAATATATATATATATATATATATATATATATATATATATATATATATATATATATATATATATATATATATAACAAAACGATGTATATAGTTCTACAATAATCAGACAGAAAACCTCACACCCATAAAGCACACACAAAGGCGGGAAGAAAAGTTGACAAAATGGCGCAGATTCAATACACCAAACGTTTGTGGGTTCACTCCCTTTCCCGATACGACGACTGTTATTTTAAAACAAGGAACTATCAACACATTGTATAACAAGAATAAGACTAA